ATTTTGCGAGAGCGAACTTTCCAAGAGCGAATTTTCGGAGAATGAGTTTTACGGGCGAATATTCCAGGAACATACGTGGCAGCGTTAAGTCTGGGAAAAGTGTAGGTACACATGGACTATAATTTTTCCAGAACAAACGTGAAGTTTCAGAAGGAAATTTCGAAGCACGCGTTTATATAAATCTTGCGAAAAGAATCTGAGAAAGAAATTTTTAGGGCGAATGTACCGGAGAATTTTTTAGATAGAGATTAATTTTTCGGGGGCAAATGGACTGGCCTGGGCGGGTGCCGATTTTCTAGAAATGGACATTACGAGACCGTTCTTCGTAGGCGTGTATTGAATGTTGCAAGGAATGGCTGAATTTTCGGAGAATTATTCTTCTACAGGCGAATATTTCAGGAGCGTGCATGTTGGGGTTGAATATTCTAGCGTTCGAATTTTTTGAAGGGAATTATTTCTTGGGAGAGAGAATTTTCGCAATGCAGAAGGGAGTTTTTTGGAGACAAATTTGCGAATATTGCGAAACGAATTAACGTATACTGAATTTTTTGGGAACAAGTCTTCAGGGAGCCAATTTTCCCAGTGCAAATTTGCGGAAGGAGAATTTTCCAGAAATGAGGTATTCGAGGAGGAATTTGGAAATATAGTTGGGGTCAATTTTTTTTAACGCGAGTCTTCGTGGCTCTGAAGTGAATTTCGGGAGTGCGAATTTTTCATGGGCCAATTTTCGGGGAATGAATTTTTTGCAACCAAATATTCCAGAAACGTTCATGTCAGTTTTGAACATACTGGAAACGGAATTTTGTAGGAGGAATCATTTCTAGGGCAAGTGTACAGTGCATACCTGAGGTAGAATTTTATGACTGCCGGAGGAGAATTTTTCAGAAGAAATCCCAGAGCTTTTCGGGGATGAATTTTCCGAATGCAATAAATTAAACTAGTCAGAGAATTTTCCATGGGCGAACGGAGAACGAGATGTAGGTGTTAGATATCATGAAATGTACATTTTTCCATTGCATGGGGATAGAAATTTTTACAGAACTGGATGGCGAATTCCCAGAGAATCGTTTTGTAAATTTTGCGAAACAAATTAGGTAACTTGCATTGAGTTTTCTTGGGGACAAGTCTTCCTTGTGGAAGTTTTCCCAGAGCGAATTTTTTAGGACGAATTTGTTAGGAAATCCCAAGACAAGTTTTTCGGGGGCGAATGTCCCGAGATTCCCTAGGAACGGATTCTCGTGGACGAATTTTATAAGAATTTTGGGCAAATTTTAGGTGAATAGTTGGGAGCGGGCATGTTGATCCGAATTTGGAGGGAATATTTCTGGAACAAGTATAGGTACCTGATGGGGTTCAAAACGGGGTTTGTGGGGGAGAATTTTTCATAAGTGAAGAGAGACTTTTAATTGTATTGTAAATGTAATTGAAAGTTGGAAATTATGTCTAGTCTTTATTTTTGTAAAGTAATTAAAATTAGAATAAGAAATAAGTACTTTTATTTATTTGTGTAACACGAATGTGTTTTTAGTTTCAGAACAAGCAACGGAATAGTCCAACATCAAATTGGCGAATTAAAGAAAGTTGCCGACGACAAACCACCGGTCAACGTACTGCACGGCTATTTCTTTTTCGTCGCCCCCGACAACACCACCCATGAAGTACGCTACGTTTCCGATCAATTCGGTTATCGTGCCGAAGTAATCAGCCCAAGCACATTCCTTGACAATTTTAAGGATGCACCGACTGTTGCAAGAGGGAAAACGATCGAAGAACCCGCTGTCACCGAGACACCCGACGACCAAGAAAACTCTACGCCTGTTGCTCCACAAATCGAAGACAGAGTAGACGAAAATTCCAAAAACAGAAAAAACGTGGACGGTGGTTTGTCATTTCCAGACAGAATAGGCACACCCGCCATCATCTCTCTTCAAGGTCCTCCAGGCAAATAATTTATGCAAATCAAACAATTCGAAGACTGAAGATTATAGTGCAAATTTGTTAATTTAAATTCTGTGATGGTTCGGACACTTATTTGTTTATTACTTACTTTAGGAAATACAGTGTAGTAAATTAATTGGCATAAAATAATGTCCTTTGAGTTTATACGATTATTGCACATCTCCATTACTCACAAGACAACCTACATTGCTTTTCAGGAAGACCTTAGACTCAATTAATGAGAACTCAATAATAGAGCTTTATTAAAACTATCAACTTATAAAGATTCCAGCCCATAAGCAACAATAAAAAAATTATGAATTTGCATGTGATTGTTATAATTTAAATTGCCATCTAATTATAAGGGGGTATTATTATTATTATTATTATCTTGTGGCTGGATGGACCAAGTGAAAAATCTTTTACAATTAAACCAACGCAACGGTCTGAAATGTCTTGTTTGCTAGTTCTCAAACGCCCGGATTTCTCCTTTAATTTGTTTGTCAGCAACCATATCACACAAAAGGACGAGCTGTGCTATTTCAAAATCTAGTGCGAGTATTTAAAATTAATAAAATTAATATTAATTTTAAATACTACTTTGCAGTTTGTAATAAATTCTTAACATTGCACCCAATTTGGAAAATGTTCTGACAAATCCATAAATTTTAAAAAGTGGGGTAATTGTCATCTACGAGTATTATAACTAAGGAATGAAACAAATGGATGTCCCTTAGAACCCAAATATAATCGATTTCATTGCGCCACCAGTGTTAAGGAACTATACAGGGTGTAGCACCTAAGATCCCTCGGATCATAACTGCTTTACCATAAAAGATACCGAAAAAAGTCTTAGAGCAAAATTGGACACAATTACCGCCGGCATCTTTCTAAAATATTTTTGAAACCAGGGCCGTGCTGTATTTCAGTGGCGTATCAAACTTGCATTAGTTTTAAATGGAACACCCTATATTTTATTACTGATTTGGAGAGTACTTGAAAAGTACTTTTTTTTTAATTGACTTTTGTTAAATGTCATATTTTTTAACAATTTCAAATGGCACCCCCCCTAAACAAATTATACCTCTGGGTAGCCAAAACTATAAATTTTCCACGGATATAAACAACACCACACATGCCATAAGAAAATGATGACAAAGCCTAAATCAGGATCGCTGTTCTCCCAGAGTGCAATAAAAACTATGCTGTCTTGAAAAAAAAACCCACACACAGGAATATTGTGCTGAATTGTATTACTAAAATATGGACTAGTGATCTCAGAGCAGCATAATTTTTTGACAGCTATTGTTGCAGCAAAATCCGACTGAAATAAGATTACCCTGCGCTGCGGGTTTTGGACCCGAGAATATATTAAGAGGACAACACGCTACAGAAATCAAATGACGTAGAAAGACAATCATTAATTCAACCAATTGCTTATGTAATACCGAGAAGGTAGAAAAGGGCCAAGAAAAATAAAGAAAAAAATTAAAAAGGCCAAGGTAGGTGAAAATATGAAAAAGTCAAGAAACGTATGGAAAGCAAGGATGTGGAAGGAGAATCTGAATAATGCAAAAATGGCAAAGGAATCTAGAAAACGGGAGTCTACGGAAATGATCAAGTTGAGGATGTTATCTACAAAATTCTATGAAATTGAAGAAGGTAAAGCTAATGGCTCTAGCGGTTATGATGGGCGAGACTTTTCTTTCTCGGTAGCAAAACATGGTTTCCGAGGATCAGAGGAAAAAGTGAACATGATAAATACATCAAACAAAAAACAGAATATATAAACGTAACTCTGTAACAATGTTACACAAGCTGTGTGGTGTAACTTATAAATCCAATTATGGATGAATTGCTCCATTATTGGAATTATAAGGATGCATTAATAAAACTTGAATGTTGCTGTATACTTATAATAAACGTGATAACAATTATAAGTATACAGCAACATTCAAGTTTTATTTATAAATCCAAATTATGAGTGAATTGACGGAATATAAAGTACTGTATTTGTTCGAGCAACATGGTTCCTTGAAAGTTTTTAAATAGACATCCTGCATTGATTCTTTACGTAATGGAATCAAGCTTATGTCCTATCCAAAAAAATTTTGTTTACATGTAACCCAAATAATGGATCTAGACTAGAGCCATATAGTATAATATAATATAGATAATATAATATAAAACAATATAATATAATATAAAATAATATAATATAATATAATATAATATATAAAAATATATATATAATATAATGGCTCATATTATATTTTTCATATTAATCTCTTGAGGGGTTCATTTTTTTTCTTCTAACTTTCTGGTCTGGTTACAGTTTAACTACCGAAATATAACCACAATTTAATAAAAGGAGAGCCTCTAACCGCCTTTGGCTATATTTCAAAGACTTTTACAATTTTTTTTGTTAATTAGTCTAATAGTTTGCGAGCAACTTTTTTAAAAGGTATTATGCGAGACATGTATTTCTTAAAATCATTACATCACATGATCCATTTCTTGTGCTCTAACAAAAAAATTAACGAGACCAACACTACAAAAAAGTCATTTCGTGCAGATCTAAGCAGATCTAATTGGGTTTGTGTGCGACAATCGGTTATAAAACTCACTTTTTTTTCGTCCTCATTAAACGTATTGATATCAGTAACCGCATCCACCTACGTACGCTTACCTTGAAAAGATATTGTTTCTTTCTACAATTAGAAAATAGAAAAAGTAGAATGGAAGAAGCGCTAGAACTTATGAGACGATGTAAATTAATGAGCTATCCAATTCAAACTTATGTAATATTATGTGTCTGCATTTCCGTTATTCTCTTATGTTAATACATAAAATATACAACAGTAGGTTACATTTACATTTTTCGTTCGTCTGAAAGGAAATTCATGTGATTTGACAGAAATATTATGGAAATAAGAGAGATTTGCGATAGTCAATATCTCACATAATCAAAACTCGGAAGATTCTGCTAATACTGGCATACGGAAGTAGGGATTTAAAGGGGAGACGTATAAAAGTGCAAACTATGGCTGCATTAGTTGTCAGTTTGATTACGGATTATACCAACAGAAGAAGGATAAGCGAACATGTTTCGTATAGCTGTAAGAAATTGGTACAATGTACCATTGTTGTTTAATTTTTCTTGTTTTGCAGTGCTTAGTGTTGGTGATAGTCCAAGTCTATGGAATACACGGTGATGAAAGCGTGCTTGGTGGAGCTATTGCCCAAATTGTGGATTACATCTTTCACAATATAGGGGACGGTAATTACCGCTGGGGGTAAGTTTATGCCTATGCAAAAAAGTTTGGATCTAATGCACTGCTAGGTTTTCATCAACTGATGGCGTACAGCGAATGGAAGAGGGAGTGCTCGAAAATCCTGAAACTGACCACGAAAACTTCATAGTAAGGGGAAGTTACAGCTATCCTGATGCAAATGGGAAAATGGTTAAAGTAAAATATACAGCTGATAAGGACGGTTTTCATCCAGAAGGCGATAACATATTCGTACCTGCTTACGACACTAACGATAAAGACTACGATCAAAAGGATAACAAAATCGAAGCAACTCAACAGTCGCGGTTTAATCGCCAGTTCATTGAGAACCCTCCGCACAATTACGAAGACAATTACCAACAAGTTTCTCATCTACAAAATCATCAAAACCAAAACATAGTGTACAGACAGCAATTGCCCGTACAAGCCGAAAATAACGACTTTCACTACGACAAATCACTCATAGATCTTTTGGGCCATAGTAGTGCGGGTGGCCTCAACTTCGAACAGCAAGGGCAAGATCAGCGACCAATTATAGCTATCGTGGGGGACGACGGAAGAATAATCGAAAGCAGTTTAGATAGTGAAAATATTCCAGATTCCATTTTGGAATTGTTAGGTAAAAGTGCTACCCACAGTATTCCAAAACTAACACAGCAGCAAGTGCACGATGTAATGGTGAGAAATGGAATTCCACAAATGATTGAGAAAGCATTAACGGAGGCTCTCAGAAAACAGAACATTGAGACTGATAATGCTTCGGAGTCGTCATCTGTCATTGTCACTAAAGATGCAGAACCCAGTACAACTCCTTCGACATTTACCATCTCGTACAACAATAGCATTAGCAGCGATGCAGCTGAAAAGATTAATAATAGTACGCAAACGTGATCAGAATAGTCATTAATTTGTTATCGTGTTATTTTTTGACTATTATAATTGAAATAAATATTGATTAATACTTCCTGTTTCATTTATGTAATTTGTAACTCTCTTATTTTGCATGCATTTTGGCCGTATCCGTGTGACGCCAATGGGAAAAAGTGTTTTTGTTAGCTTGACGATTGCAGGCGAACCATCCCGAACGCACTACGTAAAATGGACTGCAAAGCACAAACTTCCATTTTTACCACGTTAATAAGGGAAGTATTGCATTGGGGTAAAAAAGACCCACCAATTTTTTGACGGAAATCCCGATTCGAAGCACCAGGAATCCGAATCAAACAAAATCTCGATGATGCGGGTCTGTCGGTCCGTCTGTGCTCACATTCCCGGCTACACGGTTGAACCGATTGGAACCAAATCTGACATATTCTTACACATAAAAGGAAGAGCGGACAAGCTTTTGGACAGAATTGCGCATGCGGAAGTGTGTCAAACTCTTATTTCCGGCTAAACGATTGAACCGATTGGAACCAAATTTGGTACACATATTCTTAGACATAAAAGAAACAGTTGGAAAACATTTTGGCACAACGCGCATGCGCAGGTGTGCGGGAGGTATTCGTGCGAGCCATAGCAAATTTTTATATTCCGTTCTCGTTTGGGCGTGAGATATCCGAACGGCGTAGCATTCACCGTGCCCGGACGGGGACTATACCAATTCCAAAGAATGCCGTTTGGCTGGAACAACGCTCCGGCTACCTTTCAGCGTATCGTCGAAACTATTCTCGGTCCTAAACTCCAACCTAATGTTCTGGTCTACCACGATGTTGTCATTGTGTCCCCCGATTTTGAATCACATTTACGTCTTTTAACTGAAGTTTTCAATCGGGCGCTTGCTGCCGGGTTGATCATAAACAAAGATAAATGTCAGTTTTTCCTAGGGTTTTTCCTCAAATACCTTACCTATGTGGTCCACGTACATGGTTTACGTCCTGACCCCGAGAGAGTCAAAGTTATCATAAATATCACCTCTCCTGTCAACGTACATGAATTAAAGCGTTTCCTAAGGGCATGCAGCTGGCATCGTAAATGGAATCAAATTGATACGTGACCTGAAGTATATTTTTAAATCAATAAACACAAATTCAGTCAATACATCGTCTGATTTATTTATGATGCAAACGTTAAACAATATATACATTTCCATGTAATTTTTCTAATCTAAATCTAAATCAATTCACAAACTGAACGAATATTCTAATTATAAATTGAATTATAATTTACCTTAAAGTCGTACGCGCAAACGCAATCCAGTTTAAGCACGCACAAAATATAAATAAACTAACCTTTCAGATAGTAAATCGTGATGTCACAGGTGTAGGTGAACGACTCAAATTTCCACAATTACAGGAATGTGGAACGACGACGATGACAGGATCATTAGGTACAACGAAGACCTCTTTCCTAATCATACATCCTATTAAACAGAAATCCTTGATTTGAATGCCGCGGCTTTACAAAATCCTGTTCTCCTCTCCAAATACGAACTGGAACCGCAACCGCAATAACGCTTCCAAACTGCGCAAGTGGCGTTGAAATGCTGCGTCTAAACGTAGATTTATTGTTGATGTATATGGAAAAGCACTCTTAGAACAATATTTGGTACCTTTTCCACTGAATTTAACTAACTAGGCGCTACATAAAGATATACCAAGCACGCCTTGCGTAAGCACTCTCGCGCTTGGATTTTCCCAAGTTCACGACTGTGGGATTTCCCTAGGTCATTGCGCGGGAAGTTTTTATCAGCATGTAAAGTTAAACTCGAAAATGCTTGCAAACTATAAAACGTATTTCAAATTTCCTCCTATCACTTAGAAACTTTTTTATCAACATACACAATTTAACTCGAAAATGCTTGCAAGTTCTAAAACGTATTTCAAGTACCTTCTTGAAACTTAAAAAGTATCTCAAATATCTTTTGAAGGTTATTCGGATACCTTTCTGCTCGTTAACACTAGCGTATTATAAATTCCGGGGGCAAAGCCGCATCCCTTGGTGGCGTTCGAGTTCGTCCGCCATTTGTGCACGGACTGGCTACCGAAGTTTGTCGCATATTATTATATAACAATTTATACGCGACGAACAGATTACTTTACACAAAGTTACCCTTAAAACCTAGTTATAAATTTTTTATTTTTATATTTTTAATTCAATCTTTAATGTTACTTTTTGAATCCCCTGTATTTAAGTATACCTAGCTAATAACTACACATTCCATTTGTGCGGAACCTTTTCTAAAAGACAACCAATCCCAATAAAATAAGAAGTGGTCTTATATAAAAAAATGACAACTATAATTTGGACCTTAGAGGTCATTTTTGACATAAAAATTAATCAAAATGGGGTAAATTTAGGTATAGGGCATTATACATGACGCGCAAGTAGAATTTTAAGTAGAATCTAAAAATAAGATGATGTGTAGGGTGTTCCATTTGAAATAAGCAAGTTAGCATCAACTCTGGGTATAACTGGCTGTCATCGTGGGACACCCATATACCGAAACAGACCAAACCCAGTGCCATCCATAAAAAGCGCATAAAATTGGTCACAATTACTAAAAAACCACATGAAAATACCGTGACGACTATTTAGCAACAGAGCCGCCCTATCAGAGATCAGCCAAACGTCAAAATTAACGCGACTTATGATTGAACAGAGACCGCCGTTAAACAAATCATAAACCTTAGTCGCATGCGCCAACGAATTCCAAATTTTCGTTTTTATATGAGTTTATACAGTGTGTCGCGAGATTAGGTCCACTATACCCGTAATTGAGTATTTTTTTGTTTTTCAAGAGAAAGCCATGCTTTATAGTCCTGATTGTTCCAAAACTGTAAATGCATAATTTAGTTTTCGGTTAAAATGCATTGTGTATGTAATTTGGTACTACCACAAATAAAACAAAAACGTCCATGGGACCGTTTGTATTGGTGAAGTATTGAACGAAAATGATGTAGCATTTTTCTTAAAGTTAACCTTGTTGGGTAATTATATGTAACCGAAATGCAAAAAGATTCAGGCATAGCATTGATTTTAGTACAGCATCAGATGTTTAATTATCGTTAATTAAACTATTACCAAATTGTGACAATCAATTTACGATCGGGTGATTAATTTAGCAAGAAATGGAAAGTATGGACACAGGTTGGTTTTCAATTAGTTTAGGGCATGACTCTGCAGATAAGATGATGACTGTAATTTCGAGGATGAGTGCTATTAATTACCATACATTGTAAAACATAGTTAAGCTATTAATTTGAGTAGGTACTTAATACGTTAAGTAATTGAACTGCATGTTATTGTAAAGATTACAATACAAGTTAACATCACAAGAAATCTATAACAAAATATGGAGGAAATGTAGAAACTATAGGTGGCCTAGGCGTTGGGGGGACTTGGGACGGTGAGGTATCCATTTAAAGGTTATTATAATATTTATCGTGTGAATAGCACTGGAAATAGGTGGCGGGGGCGTGGCACTCTAAATCCTTTTCGATTTGTCCTTTTTTGAACATTTTGCTAATTTTGCAAATGGCGCTTCTTTGGGTAAAGTTTTATATTGATCGACCGAAGCCTTAGTAAGACCTCTCGCAGATTGTTCATGTGGTCTTCGAAGGTCTTTCCTATCACAACGATGTTGTCCAGGTAGACTAAACAAGTTTTTCACGATTATCCTTTTAGCACATTTTCCACGAGACGTTCCTACGTCGCGGGTGGGTTACACAATCCGAACGGCATGACTGTAAAATTGGAAGCCGGATAGCGTGTCAAGCGTGTCGTCAACTCGTGGAAGTAAATAGCTATCTTTTTTAGTCTCGTCATTGAGGCGGCGATAATCCACACAGAATCGTGTTGATCCATACATCTTGTTAACGCCATTATGGTCCTTGTCGCGCCGGCGTCTATCAGTATGGACCCAGGTTTTCCATCTACTAAACCGTCTATACGTATAGATCGAACAGTGATTTCTGTGGCCTTCACATAGCAGGTCGATGTTTGCCCGTTTTCATCAACATTTTAGCGCATCAAATTTTGCTGTCTAAAAGGGGGCTCCCACGAATTATTTCCTGAGATGCTGTTTTTGAAAGTAAAACGTGCATAACAACCAATTGGTCTCAGATTTTTCATACGGCATGCCTTTGGTAGTACCAAGTTACATTTTAGAAAATGGGGGGGGGGGGACACATGTTCTACCCTTCATGGTATTATAATGCAAGGTCTCATTGAAATAAATTGGTTTAACTAACAACTTTCCCGTGCGACTTTTTCCAAGATCAGTGGGCGACGGGGCCTGAGGGGGGGGGGGTTAAACATTAATTTTATCTCTCATTGTATTCTAATTAAAGGTCTCAACGAAAGGACCCGTTTTCTACCAACTGCTGCCCTTCTTTTTGTCCTGTTATCAAAGTATCAAAGAACGGATTGTCGGAAGAGGGTACTCACAAAGGGCGATTGAGCGTCTGCAAGAAATATTATATCCATTGTTGATGTCAAAACAAAAGCTAGTTCGGTTAAAAAATATGCGTTTTGTCTGCACAAGAGTTGTGCACAATTTATACTTGTGTAGTGTCCGCTGCTTTTGCTGTTGACTCCACTCGGGGTGTCTCTCACGAACCTTTCGTCACCGATTCCCTAAATACCCAATTTCTCCGCAATTCCAATAACGGGGCTGTTTCTGTGTCACCATAGCCTTGACAAAGTTCTTCTCGTAGATTTTTTTCGATTTCTTCTAGATTCTTCCAATCTGCCCCATTCTGGAAGTTTCCACGAATTCACTTGTTTTTCCAATTCAAAGGAATACCTACTTCTAAAGATTGACGCCTTCCTCAAGCAGCTACAAGTCGGTTTTGAAGAATATAACACTCTTCACACCTGTCGTATCAAAGAATGTTTCTTCAAGTGGAACACGAAGTTCGGAAACCTTCAATTCCATTTTTGATTGTTTTTTTTTATAATTAAATCCACACCTGACAATAAAAGATCCTATTCACATGCGGACATCTACGGAGGATGTGTACGTGGGACAGATCCGTATCAATTCGTATATGTGTATCCGCGTGCTTGGCCGTGACTTCTGGCGCCCAAAAGATACTTTCCGCTGAGAATTTTGTCACGTGGTTTAAAGTTTCTTAAAGCTCCAATCGCGGTCTCTCTTTCTCGTGTTGCCAACAGAAGCTCGAGCTATGAGAAGTGACTCAAAAATTGAGTAGGTACTTATACTTCGTTTCACCAATAATTTAAAATTTCTCATTAAGTCGTTAAGTAGCGGGAATTCCCACTGCGACATTTAAAACAATAGGACAATAGCCCCCATTTAACTAAAAGTCAGCGGTTCTCAATAAAATTTTAATGTTTCAAACGCCAAATTGTAGTGCTCGTATAAATCGGCCCATTTTGTTTGAAAATTTTTATTGAGAACCGCTGACTTTTAGTTAAATGGGGGCTATTGTTCTATTGTTTTAAATGTCGCAGTGGGAATTCCCGCTACTTAACGTCCTAATGAGAAATGTTAAATTATTGGTGAAACGAACTATAGGTACTATTTTGTAGAGGGGTTTTAGCGAAATTCACCAAAATGGCACAGGGGGCGTTAGAAGTGGACAAGATCTGACTGATGATGGAGTCAAAACTTCAAACGCGACTTACGAGCGAACGGGGAAGTAGGTGCCGACAAAAGGAATTGGTACCCTCCGACAAGATATTATTGATGGTGGAGTCAAAACTGGTTAATAGAATAGTGATCTACCACACAAATGCGCTGAAGTCTATTCGGTCTCACACGACTTTCTATTATCAATAGACACAGCCCTCAATACAATTTATGCACTTCCCAGGGACCAGTACTACAGTACTTAAATAGTGGCTGAATGCCGCCATTCGTCTGTTGAGTTTTGTCCGTGATCGGTGTGCCTGTATGCAACTCACGGTGGATCTGACCGCCGGACAGATCCACATGTTCACATGGAATAGGACCTTTTGTCTTTCAAATTTTCGAATACTTATAAACAGGACTTTATTAGGAAATGAACAGATTAAAAAATTCTCTTAATGTCACCGTCTGTCCACACTCTATCATTATAACATTATCAGATTGTAAAATTGTTATGGGCAATTTAAACTTAGCATGTAAATAGGACAAAAATGAATAAAGATGGTCAGATGTGTCCCGCTAAAGCGAAAACACAAATATCTACCCAAAATTATATGTCAAATTCACCCCCCCCCCTTAGTTTTGCCAAAAATATGTGTAAAAAACAGTTACGTGATGCTGCAAGAAAACTGCATGCTAAACCTAAATTTTTTTTAATGTAAGAACACGTGCAGGGGTTAATACTAGCATAGTGTAAGAATAGAATACACTATGATACTACTAGTCCGGTATTCCGATAATTTAACCTGCAAAAGGTGGTGTAAAAAATGTTATTGTTTTAAATGGTCCATTTGGGTCCAAATCACATGTATTTGAAGAGTGCACACAAATGTTTGCTCGGCACAACTTTTGGCAGCCAAAAAACCTCAAAATGTTTGGCATTTTTTTCAGTTTTTCGCTTAAAACTCGAAAACGGTCCATATTTTATGAATAGCGCTTATTTAGTAAATTAAAGAAAACAACATTCTGCGTCGATCAAAAAAATATCAAACAAAATCGGTTGAATAGAAAAATTTTTACAAGCGATCAAAAAACGCCGATTTTTTCCAAGGAATTTCAAAAATTGGTTCAATTTTAAATTGTTGGTACTCTTTGAACTCTCTGATTGATGTTCTTATCGTTCCTTTAGGAGCCACAACGCATTAAAAGAAGGTTCTTAGATTTTAGAAAAGTTGGAAAAAATGGGCGTTTTTTGATCGCTTGTAAAAATGTTTCTATTGAACCGATTTTGTGTGATATTTTTTTGATCGACGCGGAATGTTGTTTTTTTTTAATTTACTAAAGAAGTGTTATTCATAAAATAGGGACCGTTTTCGAGTTTTAAGCGAAAAATTAAAAAAAAGTCCGAACATTTTGAGGTTTTTTGGCTGCCAAAATTTGTGTGAACTCTTCAAATACATGTTATTTAGACTCAAATGGATCATTTAAAACGATAAAATCGTTTACACCACCTTTTGCAGGAATCAACCCTTCTGACTGCTCCGCATACTGGACTATAGCAGTAGCGCCAAATTATTTCGTTTGCATCGACTTTGCAAACGGTTTTTTAAAGGTTTCAAAAATCTTTACAAAGAAAATTAATTTTTGACTGCAATTACCATTACTTCTTTCCTTTCGCATGTATGTTTCACTAAATTGAATGGCCGAAATGCAAATAATAAGAAATAAATTTTAAGAAATGTGAATTTGAATATAGCAAGTATCAGAATGATTAACGTCGACTGCTTGATTTTTTTTTAATTAGTTGAAAACCTTCAACGCATAAATTCCGTACATTCCTTTTGATGTGTGAAAATAGCAAAGAAGATGTTATTGAGAAATTAATTTTCTATAGATAGGACCAGGATACACAAATTAATTACAATGATGAAACGGAATGTAATTTTGAGAAGATATTTGGGCAAGACTTTGTAAATCTATCGAACGTTTCTTTGAATTAGTACTTAACAGTAACCTTTTTTGGATCACGCAATGGCAGATTGAATTAACTACTTTTCATATATACCTTAACAAAAACGTATCTTCAAATGGCGATGGTAGCTTGTGACATATAAGTATCTTGGAAATGACAGTGATTCTTCAGTCAATTTTGTGCCGTTCACCATGAGAGCGGTAAGATTAATTTAATTGTGTAGTGGTGTTGGGCAATTTTTAAGTTTATGTAAATTTCATCATTTGAAATTGTCGGTTTCACCTGTATGTACCTACATCGAGCATTGTTTTGTTTAGATAATTGTACTATTTGCACTTCTGGGGCTTAGCCATTGCAGACCGCAATCGTCTTTTACGGCGCCCTTGGAAGCTGTCAAGGCATTCATCCTGAGTTTTGATAATTCTTTCGGTGGAGATGGAGAATATTCCTATAAGTAAGTAGCACGTACTATTTAACTGAAGTTATATCACATTTTACGAATTAGGAAAGATGAATTTAATTGAAGATGAGCCCACGAGCTGTGTGGCACATGGATTCTTACGAAATTTTATTGGTTGCTAATTAACATTTGCGTAATCGAAAGGATGAATTATAATAAATCCTCATAAAATGAGGTAAACAAAATTGTTAACCTTAGTTTCCTTGGATTACAAGTATTTAGGTTTATAAGTGAAAGTGACTACAGAAGATGTAGATGACCATAATTTATTAATTTCACACCTTCTTAGATATTATCGAATTAGTTACAAAATGATATTACCTATAGGAAAAACAGTATAGAAAGTTCCGCTAAATGTATGTAATTAGGTAGGTACAACGACAAATAACAAAAGCGTCCATGGGAACTATACCTAACCGTATGTATTGGTGAAGTATTGAGCGCAAAATGATGTAGCGTTTTTTTAAAGGTTAACCTTGCTGATGGGTAATTACATGTAACCCGAAATGCAAAAGGATTTAGGCACAGCAAATGGGTTTAGTATAGCATCAGGTGTTTCTTCATAACTTAAGGTTGATTAAACTTTGTAATCTTCGTATTACATAATCATGGCAATCAATTTGCCATTAGGCTGATTAATTTAGCTAGAGATCCAAAGCGTGGAAAGAGGCTGCTTTTAAATCAAGTTGGGGTATGACTGCAGATACTATATGATGACTGTAATTGTAAGGATGTGTGCTATTACTCTACATTGTGAAAGAGTATGTTATTCATGTGAGTACTAACTACCTAGTTAAGTAATTGAACTGCATGTTGTAAAGATTGCACTCGAAATTAATCAGACTATACCAAAATGGCAAAATCTGCAGGAAATGATCACTATAGGCGGATACCTGGCCAATAGGATATTGGGAGCTGTTAATATATCAATTTAAAGTGTGTTACAATAAATTATCGTGTGAATATGAATAATGGCATGTGTTCAAGTACAACCGTGACCCGTGTATTATAACGCCTGATTTCCTTTTACCTGGTTATACTAATATAATAATTATTTTCGTTTTTTCGTAGTGCGCCATACCAAAAACAAAATTATGTTTTAACAATAAAAATTAGTACAAGCTTTTTGTTTGTAATTATGACTATGCGTCAATTGTTAATTTCAATTTCTTTCTTTCTGAAACAATTTAGCTTCAAAGTTGCGTCTTTATTTTTAATAAAACAAAATATTATAATGTGATATTGTGTAAGATTATAAACAGGAATATTAAGGATATAAGTTAGTTTAATTTAACTTCTAAGAGTATTTATTGGCTGCCCTAAGGCACGTAACTAATATTTGCTTGCTAGGAACCCGGACTGAAATGATTTATCAGTTTCAGTTCCAGTCTATTTCAATTGGAAAATATCAGTTTCAGTTCCAGTTAGAGTCCGACTTGAATCAGTTTCAGTGCCATACAGTCCCACTTGAATCGCAGTTTCAGTTCTAGTCTCACAGTTTTTAGTCTGCAATTTCAGTGTGAAAAAAAAAGAAACAAAGCATATTTACATTTGTTTTATAATTTATTTATAAAAATACATGCCACCTAGGATTCAGGACTGAAATAATTTATCAGTTTCAGTTTCAGGTCCAGTCTTACCCGCATAACAAATGTCAGTTCCCGTTTCAGTTCCAGTCCGCCTCAAACACTAAATATCAGTTACAGTTCCAGTTTCAGTTTATCTGTTTCTATTTCAGTTTCAGTCCGAAATCAGTTTTAGTCCGGACCCCTGAATGATACCCATGTCGTTTTTATCTGGAATAATGACTAGCAAGTTAAATTAAATTAAATTATTGCACCTATACATTCATGCCCAAATATGTTAGTTTGACGTAATGATGTTTACGTAAGTTCACAATTTAGAACGTCTCTTAATTGAAACTCCCAAGAAACTGTCCAATAAAGAAACATTTAGAGGGCATTATTGCGGACCCCGACCTACGATCATGAAATTAATAAGGGTATCTTCCATGTGGATACACTTTAATAAAACCACTTTTGAGGGCGCACACTGTTCAAACTTGAACGTGTTAGAGAAGAAGAGCGCCGTAGAGAGGGCGCATTTTGCCCTTTCCATATGGACTACCTTATAAATTAGAGAGGGAAAGGGCATCTTCCATGTGCTCCCTTTTTCACATCGAACGCTTTTTTCGTATGAACCGCCGACTAGCCTTGATCGCCTTGCACATCCGAGAGAGGAAGGGCCCGTTTCGCATCTTTCCTGGGACCCCTATTCCGTTTCAACTGTCTTGAGTATCCAAGAGGGGAAGGGACACTCGCATCTTCCATGGGATACTTTTTTCGCACATCCGAGAGAGGAACGACCCCTTTCGCATCTTACCTGGGTCCCCTATTCACACAACCTCACATTTCGATGAAATTAACTGAACTTCTTATTAAGATATGAAAAATTTAGGACTTTTTCCGCAATTTTTTTTTGTTAAAACCGAGGTTAAAACGCTTAATTAAGGTACTTTGTAACAGTTTTTATTAATTTCATGCTCGTAGCTCGGAGTCCGTAAAACTCCATGTAACCGATTTAGATCCATAGATAAATATAGCTTCCGATTTGAAGTCAGATTTGTGACAAATAATTGTTAAACACATACGTAATTTTAACGTGATACTAAAAATTAGATGAGAAATTAAGAAAATGTCCACTTCAATTCAATTTCCCTCGCTAGCAGCAATTGTTTAAACACATAGGTAATAATTAATTATCCACCTAACCAGCAATTATTGCAAAGGGCCTATTAATCATTGTAACGAGATGAACCATAGTAAAAAAATCGCAGACAATTTATAGAATTTTAATTCAACGTTGCTTTGTAAAAAAATTATAAATAATTTATAACTTTTTTAATAGTCATTTCATTGAGTACGGAGCATAAAGAGTCGGATTGGCCCCTTGAAGTTACGGGAAAGGATCCAACTATGTTATTAATTATCGTCGCGGAATGAGGGAGAGGTCAAAAGATCAGAAATAATAATTTATAGAATTTCAATGTAAAGATTACTTTGTTAGGTTCTGCCCTTGAGGTTAAGGGAAAAACTTGTGATTATACAGGGTGATCTAATTTTAAAGGGCCAAACTGTCATAGGTGATACAGGGGCTGAAAATAGGCCGATTTAGGCTAATATACCTTTGTACCTAATAGGAGATTAACAGAGATACAGGGCGTTAAAGAAAATATTTTTGAATACGATCCTAGCACCAAGAGGCAAAGTGAGGAGTGGCATACTGCGAACTCTCCTCGACCAAAGAAAGTTCGAATAGGCAAATCGAAAATCAAATCAATGCTGGATTTGACAGAAGGGGAATCCTTCAGTACAAACTGTCAACCAAGTTTTAATAAAGACGTTCAGAAAAAGGGTTATTCGCATGAGACCAAATGGATGCTCCACCATGACAACGCCCTATGTCACCCTGCCCTCAGAAGGCATTTCGGTGTGTTATTCTTTTTTTCGGAATGCATTGAAAAGAGTGTGACGGACATGCTAAAAATTACACTGATTGAAGACTTCCAGCATAGCTATCAAAAGTGAGAACAACGTCCCATCGGTGCAGCCCAACTCTGAATAGTTGATCGCGTTCGGTTACCTACTAGTGCCGTAATCTTCGGTCAAATATTAATTTTTCTGTTTTCGTGTTGAAAAGTGTATAAGAAATGATAGTTGTGTAACACATTCGAATAGTTTATTGTTTTTAGAATGAGGATTTAAAAGGTTAATATACTGATTACTATGTCGTGAGGAAATCATTAAACTAACGTATACAATTAAAAAAGATTCAACACGAAATTCTACAGCTTTAATCTAGATATGTCTAATATCATTCACTAATACCCGTATTAGTCAATGCTAATATTAAACAAGTTTCAATATTTAGATTGATTTTATTTTGGCGGTGTCAATTTAATTCAATTCAAAATTTTTGTACAATGACTTCACTAAACATTAAACAATCTAACAACTATTTTGTTTGTTTAAATTGGTAATTAATCTCTACTCATTAATAAAGGTGCCATTGTTACTTGTTGTTCATCGCCGTATTATTGCCAAAATTTGTTGCCATGGATTAGCGTAAGATAAGCTTGTTTTGATTTTTTTGGTTCAAACGACCACGAGAAACATTATCTACTTTCAAACTCTCATCTGCTATCATAATTTTTGTTTGTTACTACTAAAAAGATTACTAAAGACAGTTGTCGAATACTTATACTCAAATATTACTTCAATATCTTTAAAAATCAGGAGTTTCTGAATATTGGAGTATGGCTTGCATTTGTCTCACTATATATTATGCTCAAGAAATGTCTTAAATAATTAATGTGGCATTCCAATTCTAGCGTGGAATCCAGTGACGGTCAAAAACGAGGCGAGAAGCGCTACATCCTGAATAAGGGCACGGAAAACGAGGAACCGGTAGTGGAAGGATATTACAGTTACAACGCACCTGATGGGAAAGAGTATGTAGTGGGATATAAAGCCGACAAAGAAGGTTTTCAGCCTGAAGGAGAGCATCTGCCTGAATCCGCAAGTGTTAAAAGGAGACCGCCCCAACTTGGAATACCTTCAAAGGCAATTGCTTCTCTATCCGGAGGCGGACTTGGTTAGTGCTTTAAAATTAAGTATTTGAATGTAAGCAAATAAATATGTGCAGATAACCTCAGAGTTTTTTTTAGAAACTTGCCCTAAGATCGGGACGTCGGGACGACTGTTAAGTTGGTAGCTAGGTATACAATAGATTCTCGATGATCGACTGATTTGAGTTCGATATTGTTTTGTAATTGCAATTAATTATTATCACTTGCAATACGTTAACAACTACATATGCGTAAATGCACCTTCAAACGTTTTGTTGGAGATCGGAAATTGTATTACATTATTGGTTTCAACATATAATGTATGTGAATAGTTTAGTGAAATGGTTGACTGAAACAACAACTTCATTATGTTTGGCAACAGAGGAAAGTTGATACGAGGGCTCGAGCCAGAAAAAGGGAAAATTTATGTGTTTCCTAAAATGAAAAAATATGCTAATTGGTGTTGCCTAAAATATAGTAACTTGTCATCTTGTATTTATTTTATATGCAATGGCCTGGAGACGTATTTACTAACCTTTAAATTTCATCACCACCATGACCTCATCCCTCTTAAAATTTTTAAATAACTTTAAATAATTTTTTTTGAGTAAACTGCGTAACTAAGCTGCAAAATGAACTGGCAGAGATGGTACTAATGTTAAGTCGTCATTACCAAGAAGTGGAGAGGCGTTACCTTTCATCATCATCATTAGATTTCTGCTAATGCAGGCCTCTGATGGCTTTCTCCACGATTCTATCCTCTGCGCTCTTCCCTTTACTCCTTCATACACTTCTCCCTCCTTCAGGTCGTTTAACCCATTTCATTCTCCCTGAACAATTATCTCAATTACTTCCTTCAACAAACAGTTCTTTCTTAGTACATGTCTAATTCAGTTATTTTTGTTCGTTTTATGATCTTTAACATACCTCTTTCGTCTTCTTATCTTATTAGTCCGGTTTGGTTCTTCTCCATGTCCCCATTTCAAACTTTTCCTGATATCTGTTCATTGCTGTCCATGTTTCACTACCGTACACTAGAACACTCCATATACAACATTTTACCAATCTCTTTCTTAATTGAATTTCTATCTTACTGCATAAAATCCCCCTCTTGCAATTAACTATTTGTTTTGCCATCGCTATCATGGTCTTAATGTCTTATTTACTTTTCCAACCTTTCTCTGTACCTAAATACTCTTTCCACTTGCTCTATTCTCACTACGTCTACCATTACTGTTATATCCTCCTGCACTTCCACTTTAATAACTTTTGCTATGTTCTTATTAATTCTTAGGTTACACTCTGTTTTGAATTTTTCTAACAATATCTCAAGTTCTTTTTCACTCTCAGCAAATACAATGATATCATCCATAAATCGTGTACTAACAATCCTCTTTCCTCTGAAGTCTGATGTCCATACCATGTTTTCTCATTTTCCGACATATTTCCGCCATCTTCAGAGTCGGTGTTAAACACTAAATAGCATCCTTGTCTTAACTCCTCTTCCAATATCAAACCAAACCGGTCTTTTTACAGCTTTGCTTTTTGATTCACATACAGGGATTTTTTTGTTAAATGTATACCTACATATACAGAGTGGCCCAACCAGAAGTGTACAGAGGGCTTTTAGGGTATTAAATTTAGAAATTTCGAAAAATCCTCGAACACGTCAATTTTGTATTCGAGGGGGACAACTTTTGGAATACAAATCACGAACGCAAGTCTTCACCCCTCTACGTAGGGGGCTTAACACCTAAAATTTTAAATAAAATCCTATGGCAAATGGCACATTATTTGAAAGCCCATTTAATCGTGATTACTAATCTGCTTTGCTTTTTAAATTCTATTGATTCGTTTCGGAGATATTCGCATTTGAAATCGTTTTTTCTAAAAAAACCAAAACAAATGCGATCTAAGTCACCTTGTATTAAAATTTTTAAATTTTTTCGAAATTTCTAAATTTAATACCCTAAAAGCCCTCTGTATACTTCTGGTTGGGCCACTCTGTATACTTAAACGGATCAAATGCATAGAGTCATGATACTTAGCATCACGGCATGGAATGGATGGCTGTAGGCAACCAACATTACACGCGACCAAATGGAGCTGTTTTTACCCACCATGATCAAATGTTGATATTTCAACCTAATCGTCTTTGCTATACATTTTTATGTTAAAAAATTACAATTTGATGCTGATAGTAAAAATAAAGACTAACAAATAATCAAGTTACTGTTTCCATAGCAGACGCAGATTATCATTTAAAACAAATTCATGTAGAGTTGGTTGCCCATTATATTATAATGTTTCATATTAGTCGTCTTTCTCTCTAGTTGGTTCTTCCAACAGTTTCTCCCAGTTTACCCATTCGAATGCCTTTAGAATGTCAACAAGGGTACAGAAAAGGTTTTTCTCTCTTCCAAATATCTTTCCCCGATCGTTCTCAGCACTCTAGTCTCAGTGCTCTAGCCACAGGCACAGCCCATTTTCGTAGATTAGATGTAGGTAGCTAGTTATTTCTTTGATTTCTATTTGTTGCAGACATTTCAATAAACTTATGACGATATTATCAACTTCTACTGCCTTTTCATCCTTCATTTCTTTTGTGGCTGTCATTACTGTTACATTACCGTTAATAGAATGCCGTCTCCGATGTTGTTATTATCTACTTTCTCTGCGCTGTTCTGGTTTATTCATTGCTTGATATAGCTCCTCCATAATTATATTCTTTCCATCTTCCCAATACTTCGCTTGCGTCTGTCAACAATATCCTTTTTGTGTATTTCTATCCCTGCCTTAGTTCCACCTTTTTCTGCCTATCTAGCGTATTTTTCTTTACTTTATTGTATAGCAAATCATTTCTCCAGTTCTTCAATTTTACTACACCCCGTTTCCAACCATGCTGTTATGTTAACTGTCCTTAAATATTTAGCTTTCCTCCATTTTATTCATAATTTTTGTTGTTATCGAAGGTTTCTTTACTCTTAGCCCCTTACTGAAACCGATTCACCAACCAATTTTTATTACACCTTCCGCTATCCTCTTCCAATGTTTCTCCACACTTTCCCCGTCCTTGGTGTTCCACGATTTCATATTTCTTTCTATTTTACATATTAATATTTTATCTTTGTTTAATTCTTTCAACGTTTTCAAATTCCATTTTGTACTATCATCAGTTTTCTTTTCTATTTACAGTCTTATCTCTAAATCTGTAGCTAAAAGAATGTGGTTGCTGAATATATAAGCTCATGGGTAGCCCACAAACTTTCTTGACTCCGCTCTTATATCTACTTTTTACTAATATAAAATCTCCTTCCTAAATATGTCTTCTGGTGCTTTCCAGGTGTAGCGCCTTCTTTTATGGTTTCCAAACCATGTGTTCGTAACAATCAAATTATTTTCTTAGCAAAACTCAATCAACTTATCTACTCTTTCATTTCTTTCTCTTTTTTCACACTGACATTCTACTTTCCCTTTTCAATCTTACAGCATCGCTGTCCTTCCCTACTAATTATTCCTCTAATCAGTTCGTCCAGTTTTTCTATTTCTTTACCGCCACGATCATTTGTCGGCATGTATACATGTGGATAGTTAGTATTGTTCTTCGTACCACATCTACTTTCATTGCTATGATTCTATCACAGTCGTTTATTGCTTTGGTAACCGTTGACTGCACCTTCTTATTAATTAATAAATTATTAATAATTTTTCCTTTTTCCATCTCCACTATAGTAAAGGTGAAAATAATGTTCTTCATTGCCTACTCCACATTCACCCCATCTCACTTCACTGACACCAATAAACTTTACACTAGTTTTTAGCATTTTAGCAACGTTCCACGTCCCAAAATAATCATATTCTTCTCTTTCTTCTGGGATGCACACATCATATATTTCTCCTCCCCGAAATCCGATTGAGGAGATCTGTGGCCGTTTTTTTATTTCTCATTGCTGTCACCATCAACTTGGGATATCAAGTTTGCAGTGGTTTCCCGTTTCCTTCTGCATCCTATACCGTTGACTTTAGTTGTTCATCTGCCTTTTGAAGAGATTTATCTCTACAAGGACAAGCGGATGTCCTTCTCTCAACTGCTCTTCCGCCATGAAGCCGTTGGCACTTGATGAGAGTTGAATAATTGTGGATGGTTTACAAATAGTCAAAGTACCGCTGTATCTGTATACAGCGGGTCTAAGGTAAGGATGTCTATCATGGGGATCTCCGAAACCATAGAAGATAAGACAAGGTTATTATCATGCTTTAAAGAAAACCAGAAAATCCCGATTACTTCCGAAGATAATATGCAAGGAAAATCGAAATTTACCAATGTTTTTTTTATTTTTTCCTGATGTTATTTGAACAGATACAAAAAAATGAAACACACTTCCTCATTTCCATTTTTGAGCTGTATAAGATCCCGTTAAGAGATTTTTAACCCAACGCTTCGTTTTGGCGAAATCATCATCAACTTTTTTTTATATGGCCCGTAAAAAAAAGTACATACTGTATTGAGTAGCATATTTTATTACGAATACAACGATATACGCTACATAACAAAACATAAGATGAAAACTGCACCCGCGTACGAGAATACCTATCCGACAACTTTCCTGGAGAATGAAAAATTTGTATATTTAGGGCCGATTCTACAATGAAGGTATATACCGAGAATAAGCTATACCTAGAATAAATGTCGACGGTTGCGTGGGTTACCATTTTGTCAACCAATGGCATACATGTTGCTATGGCAGTTATTCCAAGAATATCTTATTCTCCGTAAAAGTGTAATTGTAAAACCGGCCCTTAGTAGTCTACTGACTGACAGCAATGTAACGTTTACATCTGTGACAGTACATTCTAAACTTGTCAACATTTGTGCACCCAAAACCCAAAACAACACCACGAGTTCCCTGGGACAAGGTTTGCGCTGAAACACGGAGAGTAGGCAATATTCACAATCGATCAAGCGAATCGAATTAAATTGCACAGAGCAATTCGCTGCATCGAACCATTCTATTCATACGTATTAACCACATTTTTCCAGAAATCGGCGGGTTTTTCACATGGAAGATGAACAAAACACAAAGCATGATTAACTTCAGTTTTGTTATCGTTCCTTCAACTTTACCGGAATTGATGCATACTGAGTCGACGTAAATTAGACCTAGCTCCCGGTGATTACTTTACTATGCGCTTGAACATATCCTTGTGCTCCAAATATGCCTATACAGCAAAGGTAAAGTTCTCTAGATCCATTAATTTTTGATCGCTCGAACTCTACATCCGAATGTTTCTCTCTTGGTTCGCCGCAATGAGTTCTACGAATGCACGAAACCGAATGCTTTAATTCTGTTCCCCCTGGACTTTTCCATACTCATCTTTTAAATTTACAAAACCACCCACAAAATGGCGCCAAGTAATTAAATCATGAAATAAACGGATTCCTGCAGCTCCACAAACCAAAACCGCCCAAAGGCCGTCTCTTAAAAACCCATGGTCGTTTAATATGATATCATTCTGGGTACTCCTGACTGGGCACGTAAAACTCATTAAGAAGTATTATTGCCTGGTAACGCCCATCCGACTGGCGTCAGTAACTTTCCCAACCCCTAAACTGTCATGGCGCACAAGCAAAGTGTGATCCATGAAATTATAGAACGCCAAATCTATTCGAAACTATTGACTTTTAAAACTATGAACAAAATAAAAATTTTGTAGAGGCGACCATCTAATTTGATGAACATGAGTCTCAACATACGCAATGCCTGCGTTGCCCTAACGAAGTAAAAAAAAACCTATTGGAGGGCTACCGTTACATCTCATGATACTTAAGGAAAAACTTTGAAATGTTAGAAATGACTTACATATACACTCAAAAACAAAGTATTTTATGTTTTATTTATTATCCCTCTCTTGTTTTGGGCCCTCAATAGGGTTGCGCCCAATTACAGAGTGACCCGCGTAATGCTTTTTAGAGGTACCTCTGTAGAGGCTTTTAAATTGTTATATACTACCCCGGTATTTACCTCACGAATTAGGAAAACTGCAGGAAAACCTAATTCGGAGTAGCCGGCAGAATGCTTGAAACTGGATTAAGGTAATTTCTATCTCTGCCACAGATGAAATATTCACCTCAACCCAGGTTCGAACACCCGGCCTCCAGATTTATAGTCCAACGCTCTACCACTGGACCATAACGCCGGTATATAGTATGAGAACAACATGAATCTAACTCAAACAACTACTGATCTGAGAAACGCATTTATATGGGTGATGACAGAAGCATAATTCCAAAGTAAGTTATCGAATGGAGAAGTAGAAATCCAGACAAGTTAGAAAAAAGGTGTGAAAGAAAAGAGATCTCTGGTCTTCATGGGTAGGATGAATCAAATCAAAACACTACAAATTCTGATGTGCTAATTTATGTCTTATACACTACAATATCCTTTCATATATTGAGACAAGCGATTTACAAATGACGGTCACCCGTATCTACTCTGTAGATATTAATTATGTACAATCATCTTACAACTTAATCAGCAGATACCAATTCTAGATGAATTGATGCAAATGTTAATTTTTAGGAATATGCGATCCAACGGCTCTGTACCCGTTTTCATCGGCAACATAATTCACTGTGTACGTTACCCCATCCGTTCCAATGTAGCTGTACGATCCCTGAACAACAATTGCTTGGTTCGAACCAATTGTCCTCAGTTCTGCCTTCTCCTCTCTGGAAATGCCGTCACTCGTTTGGTATCTGTTACAAAAACTGTTAAATTCAAACAAAGATGGATGTCATACTTACAAGAACTGATAGTCGCCTACCCCTATATTGTTATTTTCTTGGCGTAGAATGGTAGCACTCGGTGAGTCGAAATGCGTGCCCTTATTGTGATATTGGGGATTTGCTGCAGCGACCGACATGCAGGCAACGATTACGCACACCTGAAACACAAGCGATATTTAGCGCAAAGGATCTTTCAACTTACAATTTTCATTTTTTTCTGTTTTTCGTAGCAACTCACAAGTAACTGAGATCTGCCTCGGGGAATGTTTCCTTATATAACGTCAAAAACCTACCTTCCGGTAATTATCAGAATCGCAACCCATCATCTTGTTTATTATTTCCTTCTTTGTCGAAAGAAAACGAAGATTTATCTGTTTGTTGAAGCATAACTCGGCGAAGTCTGATCCACTTCGGAGGAATGAGAACACCGCGAAACCTTGTAATACATTGTGATCTATTGTTTACTAGTGGATGGATTTTTAAATGTACTTTACCCTTTCGTTCATGCTTTCGTTCAAATTCATACTGTAGCATTTTTTTTGAATTCAGATCGAGGAGTAAGTCGAAATCCATCGCTTACCGAAATTTGGATAATAAATTATAGTTTGATGCTTCTCATTACGTTACAACAAACTAATATGAAGAACTTCATTTATAAGTTTATTCGAATACTCTTCCGAGAGCGTACCCTAAACATTTATTTATGTTAAAAGCACAGAATTACTCTTTTCTAAAAGGTATCACCTTCAACAGTCTTAAGGTAGACTAGGTAGGTACATTAAGTTGTTCTTCTGCATTAATTATTTGTTTTAGTCTAAAGTCTGAGACTTGCTTTACAAGTTTGTATTGCAAAAAGTGCGTGGGTTTTCGTGTCCTTTCTAATGTATTTTCCAAGACGATGCAAATTCGAGGGAATCTATTGTCTGGGGTGTTTCAACGCGAAAATAACGAATCTAAAAGTAGTTGCACCACAAAAAATGTCGGAATTTAGTGAAACTTGGTAAGTACAATCTTGATACCGCTTAGGATAGCATGGGGATGACTTTAAGATTCCGTATAGAAAATGTGAAAATTCGGAGCCGATTAAAAATTATTCGTAGTATTCATTCTTCAATTATTATGGATTATGTAACATACTTGAAAAGGGAATGAAATACTCTCGTTAAACATGTAAACATCCGATATGAGCTCCATTTAACAAAAAATGCGCCAAAAAACAGTTGCCATTCATATACAGGGCGAGTGTTACAAGGCGATATTTCGAAAATGATTTTAAATATTTTTAATTTTGGTGACCAAGCGGATATGGGGGATAAATTTTAACACGTTTTTTGTAAATTTTTTTCTTTTCTCAATGTTAGGGGTGGGGAAACATTTTAAATAAAATGTGCTAAGTAATATTTTTTGTTTAATTATTTCCATGATTACGGAGGTAATAATTCAATGTTCAAAGGAGAACTCGATGGAACGAAGACAGGGCAGTTGGATTTTTAGGGGCGATAGCTATTGATCCTCATGCGGGTTTCAGTAAGCTGGCTAGTGTTAAGGGAATTTAAATAAAATGTAATTTTAACATTTAAGATAGCAGTTACGCCCTCTGGCGGTCATTTTTAGAACTTGATAATATTTTCCTGCGATTCTTCATAACTGATTTACCCCATAATTTGTTTTACCCCTAAGTCATACGACGAACGGTTCACGAGATATGGCCGAGGAACAGTCTTATTGGGTACACTGAAGATCATCATTAGAACCAGCAATTAGCATAATAATCATGAAAAGAGGTCTGTGTAATGTCAAGATTGTACAAAGTGTTTGAAAGGTAAATAGCATTTTTTTAATGCCATCTGTATACTGTTTGATTAATATAAAATTTCTTTTGGTTAGATTCATTTTAGGTAGTATTGTGGAAAATTAGGATTTAATTTTAGATTTAAGGTGTTTGTAATTGTTTTTAATTTTTTCCACGTGTGTTTATGACCGCCGATTTAGCATTATCAGGGATAAGAAGGTAAAGAAAATTCCGATATCGTAATAATAAATAATCAGCGACAATCTGCTTTTGAATGAATATCCAAAAAAAATTCTCGGGCGTGAAACGGGGTAATCGATTTAATTCGAAAAGAACCTTTTATTGTGTATGCTATGGCTCAAGAATTAATTTGTTCAAAGTTCAATTGAGAAAATATTACAAATTCATGTGTCTATTCGGTTCATGTTTTTAAATAAATGATTGTCGTGGTGTATTTGATTGTTATTCACTTCTAAGGTAAACTAATAATATCAAAATATAAAATATATTAGCCAAGTTTTTCTTGAAAAATTTGTGAAAAGAAAATGTGATTTGAAAAGAGAGCATCGGAAATTTCTTAATCAAGATATTCAAAAGGTTGTGGCGATTTGGTGTTTGATTTGGCCAGCAAACTTTTCAATTAATACAATTACAAATTGAAAGGTAATTTTTCAGGAACAAGAAGAACTTATACACTATGTAGTTTTGCATTTTTCAATAAGAGCTAGCCGGGATAATTTAGAAAATTTATTAGAAATTTCTATTTATTGATAAAGAATATGAAGCCCGATATGAAGCCTATTTCAACCTTAAACCATTCATCTCGCCCATACGCGTCAAATATTCCACCTTGAGTAACAATTAGATACGTTTGGTCATCTGCTTCCAACAAAAACTGCATTCATCTGACTTTCGTCTAACATAAATACATAGGTACACCTGTTACATTCGTAGTTTTCCATCGAGTTTTCCGCCTTTCCTGTTGCAAAAGCTTCTTCTAAAATTGAGGGGGAGGGGGTCCAAATACATACAGTTTCTATATAATGATGTGGCGATTTGGTTTAATGAAATTTTAAATTAATACAATGAGCTACTTCATGTAAGAAGAGAATATGCTAGAGGGATTATCTTGAACGAAGTGTACTATCATTGAGTAATTAAATATGAACTCAACGGTACTATAGTTAATTTTATAAACCTCGGCTAAAGTTCGGCTTCTAATTGAATTATTTATATAGGTACCTACATACAATACAATACATTTAGTTAATAAAATAAATTGAATTGACGCATCTCATAAACTTTCATTACATTTACATCTATCAGTTCTGAAGTTAGCTAACCGTATGGCTTCATTGCTGTAATATTACGTAGCATCCTCAACACCTTGAACCCCTAGGCCATAGCCTACTGTACCTTATATAAACTACCCCACTTTAAATAAAATATATTAATTTAAGATTCAGGAAATGGGAGTACATCTACAAGTTGTCAAAGAAATTGGGCCTTTTGCATGGCTGTCAGTTCGTTTTTTTTGTGGAAACCCCGCAGCTTTACCGAATGAATAATGATATAATCATTGTACCTATCAGACGGTGACAGAGCACAATGAATTTTCGTTCAGAAAACAAACAAATAGGTGACCATGAACTAGTCAATTGTCGAGGTAAAGTGTGTACCCTCTCACTTATAAATCCATTGCAACATTCTTGATGAAAAATTACCATATAACAAATTTTGAAGTAATTGCAAATATTCATTGCGAAAGAAATTCATGGGTGCATTGACTCAACTCAACCGAGTTTAAAATAACCCTTTACACGTCTAGCTCTAGCTGATATTGGGCAACCAAATGCATATAAGGTAATAAATGAAATGAAGATTAGCCAACAATCAAATTTAATATATTTTAAGACTTTCTGCTGTATTATAATAGGCGATTTGTAATGTGACATCTTCATTTTTAGTAATGTGAAGGTTAACGCAATCGCTGCATATTCATGCATGGTGTACCTATAAATTTTCATTCGACGGAAAGTTGTAGTTATCATTTCAATGACCGAAATACAATATCTGCCAGGTTCATATACGATTGAGGCGCCAACTAATGGTGTCAAATGCAATAGCTTTTGGTATACAAAAAGCGCAGCATTTGATGATCGTAACGTAATTACTGTGGGATAACGGCATTTACTCATTTTTAATGTCAGTCACATCACCAAAGTTCGATTATGTATGAAATAATAAAAAAAAACTGCAAAAAGATGCATTTATGTTACGTTCATTTGCAGATCCTCATTGCGATTTCAAAGAAAATACTTTCATTTTCATCTTGCTTTCTCAAGGTATATTGACCGCGGCGTGCTACTATCGCTTTCATGCAGGTCTCGGTGCCAGTGAAAATGGATTTGTAGGTTGGGTTGACCTTCTTGACCAATAGTTTGTAAATACAAATGGAATTTAATTTCTTGATAAGTAACATGACACAAACACGCCATTTTTTCTAGGCAGCCCTGAAGGACTATACTTATTAATAGTTTATTTATCACTTCCAGCATTCTTAGTAGCCAATTGCACATATAAGTGTTTTAAAATTTAATCATATAAAATTCTAAACCTATACGGCTTCTATACGGTTGTCCAGGGTGGTTTTATTTCTACCATTGGTCAATTTTCGAAAAATTGGCAGAAAATTGAATGTCAAACCATTACTAACCAATGCCTTTTATTTGAAGTGGCACAGAGACAGGACAAATAATACAAGTAACGAGATATCCTTGATGACAATTACTTTTACACATTAATGAAGCAGTTTCGGAGGTGACATTTGCACTCAGATTAAGTATTTAACAACAAATTATCTTTGTAACAGCCTTCTCGCAGAGAGTTCGAAACCTGTTCAAACGGTGGTCAAGGCTTCATTTAATAATAAAAATGTATTACACGTTTTAATTTATGCAACCACGTTCAGTATTTATTTAGACAGAACATCTCTCAAAGCAATGCCTACTGAGGCACGGTGATATCGATTAATCAAACACAAGAATAATAGTCCTTGATGGGTAACACTGCATCTCTTTTTTGAATTTTTGGTTTATCCCTCGGTTTATCACTGGTACGAAACCCATGTTTAGTGGAGTGGCCGAAGGGCGAAATGTCGCTTATCAGGTGGTATGCAGGAAGAAATATTGCCACAATGGCTCGATCCTCGAATCCTACCACAAGTGCAATATGCCAATTTCAATATCGGAATTTTATTTTTAAATGGGCCTGATTTCATCCAAGGTTGCTCTACCAATCCTACCCACTATACATCAATGCTTTGTGTGTGGAAAAGAATGAAGCAGAGTCCAATTTCAACTTGCACCGGATCTGGTGAATCTACGCGTAAAACCAGGTGTCAAATTCTTGACAGAATAGCTTCCTAGCTGAAACCAAAAATTGCCAACATATGTACGCACGGCAAGCATTTTGTTTTCTTTTATTAGGAGGACCTACCATCCAAATTTCGTTTTAATTATTCCATAAATAAGAAAATTGCATTTCTGCGCATGCGCAACACGATTTTTGCGCATGAATTTTGTTTGCTTTTATTAAAGGGACTTACCATAGAAATTTCGTTTAAATTGCTTTCAGAAACAAGATCGTTGCGTTTTGCACATATGCAACACAATTTTTTGACTTTGACAATTTTTTCTCCGTTTTTTGATAATATAACCCGGCCCAATTTTTTGTAGGTTGTACACAGGAAAAGCTAAGCACATGCTAGGAAGCTAAAAATGCGGGATGCAGCGAAGCGAGTAAAAAAAAGAAAAATGTCACATAAAAGCACAACTATGCATTTTTCGAGAAAAACTTCTAGAGTATTTTTTAAAGTATTTAAAAAAACCTTTCTTCTTTTTGTTAAAAAGATACTTTAGCATAAATGTAATAAAGTAGATCCGTGCTTTTTTCAGCGAATCAATCAGTCCAAGCAACCCCTAATTACCAGTGTACCACCCTAATTAAAATTAGTCCTTCACCTTTTCCAGGTTTCTCTAATTACGTATTATTAATACATTCTAGAAGTGTAACCAGTCCAGAAGACTTAATTTTGACATACATGTTGCTTTTTGAATTTCAAAGATTTTCCTCACCGGAAATTTTCTGTACGGCAAAAATTAAGTGAGACGTATAGACGTTTAAAACGTGTACCTATTTCGAACTTGTTTTAGCTCTTTAAACTCACCCCATTTTAAAACAAGAGTTTTAAAGAGGTTTAATATAAATAGCCTTGTAGCTCTTGTAAAAACCAACAAAATGGATATTTAATGCACTTTCTATCATAAAAATGAAAGAATTTTAATTAAAAAACGAACCACAATTTTTGTCGAAAAATTCTGAAAGCACAAATCGAAGCATGATGCTACATGACTGCGGTATACAGTGTGTCCCAGATCGCGTGGGATTCCATAGGTAACTTTCTTATTATTAAGGGTACAGAATTGGTTAAGTGGGCAATGTTTTGCAATTTTTGATGTTTATTTAAAATTTCCTTGTGGAAATTCAAAATGTTCGACGTAAATTCAAAAAAACTAAAATTGGTCCTTTCCTTGAATTTCTTATATCATCGAAAGTATACGAGATACAAAAAGAAGTTTTATATAGAAGTTACTGTCTTTGATACGCTTAATTTAGAATTGATGTCAAAAAAATTCAAGATGGCTGCTTTTGAGGAACATTTACCACCTATCTAAAGTTAAATAGGGGCCATATTGGATGTTTAGATTACTTGATAGATTTTTAATTCTCTCTTCAACGAACTATCATAGCATAAGATTGAAAATAAGATACCACTTATGTATATCAACGGTTTTTATATTTTAATCAAGTAGTTTGTGATGAATTAAAAAAAAACAAAATTTATTCGAGGCAAAAAAACAACGAAAATAATTACATCCTTTACTCAACGGTTTGATACACCATCTATCAGGAGGTTGAACTCCATACATACAACTCTCGTCAATTATCTTCTTGAGGGCAAATACTTTGTTTTATTAAACCACAATAAGGGTTGATTTTTAAGGGTTGAAATATTCTGAAATAATGTTCCAAAATCATTACTCAACCCATCTGAACCAATTTTACTCTCTTTAAGCTTTAATATGTAGCTTTATGGGTTTTGGAAAAAACGGGGTAGTTTATACTATTTTAAGTTTAGTTTCTTGGACTTATTGCAACTGATGTTACCTAAATACCACAACATGTGTTGTTCCCATTACATTAGTAATAGAAATATTGCTGATGTGTGTAATGAATAATGATCCCGTGCCGAAAAGGACAATGCACAAAACACTTCAAACCTTTAAAAGTTTTACGAAGGAGTTAACCGATTGCCATTTGTATAGGATAGTTAAAAAAGTCAATATACAACCGTTTTTGTATGATGTGAAATAAAATCAAGAAAAGTACCTAAGAGAGGTCACTCGATCTTCATTCCCATATGTATGTTAATTTTATTAAAGTGGATTCAGCGAAAAAGTTATCATTTCTCATTAACGCTTAGGGGAGTTCTCAATGTTATTTCGATAAATGATATTATTGAATTTGAATCTTAAATGTAAGGGAAAATCCGCAGTCTTACGGTCGAAAGTTGTTCAATACAATCCTTACGGCTTGTTTAAATGAATAGAACAATAGATATCAATCACACTATTCATTTAAACAAACCGTAAGGATTGTATTAAACAATTTTCTACCGTAAAACTGCGGTTTTCCCTTACATTTAAGATGCAAATTCAATAATACCATTTATCGCAATAACATTGTCAACATGTTAACTTTTTCGCTGAATCCACTATAGCTAGCTCTTCAATGATAACCTTTTTTGGTGGTCGGTGCTGATTCCCGGAAGACAGTGGGCAATATCAAAATCCCTAAATTCTAAACGATCTGCTACTAAATTCTGACTAACACTTAGCAAAGAGTATACAACGAATGCTCTTTGCACTTAGGTACAATGCACTTTGGGAGAGAATCAGTAAAATTAATAAAATTAATCATAATTCAGCATAAAACTTCTCTGTTCGTCGTGAAAAGGGTCGGAATAAACATACAACTTGCGTTGCGTTATATTACACAAAATTCCATTACAATCTTGCTAAAATGGAGATGGGCCACAATATCCAATTAAAATTCTACATCATGAGTGTTCAAAACAACATTACAATCAATTACCAACTCAAACCGAAAGTTACTTACAGTTTTTTCAAGTCAACATATTCAAATAAAATTCGTACACACAAATCACTAATCAATACGATGGAAACCAAAAAAAACATCTAATGACGCATTGTACGCTAATGCAAAGAGTACCCATAGTTACTCTTTGGCTAATGCACTACCACTCTTCTTCAATTTTGCGTAATTTATATTTATATTATTTATTTTATATATGACAATTAACTTGTAAAATGATACACTGTTTATATTCAATCGTTACCCCAAATTGACTATGGTAGGCTAGTAGATTTATAGCCGCCTTATAAAGACTAGGTAGTTAAAATAAGATGAGAATTGTTGGCTATATCTTCGAAACGGTTGAGAATAAAAATATAGTTTATTAGTATTTTTGTCTTCCAATATCCTCTACTGTAATTTCCCAAAATATTTCCCATTGCTCCTGAGACACCCAGTATATTCCATTTCAGATAAGTAAATTGGTATTAACTTACTGTATGACCCAAAGTAGAAAATACATTTCTCTTATCAACATTATTATATTTTCACATTTTCAAAATATTCAGAGAGCTTTCTTTTCGATATCCGGAATTCGTCGTGGACCACCCTGTATTTGAACTATCAAGTAATACTTCCGATATTCGAAATGGATTGAAATCTATTTACACAGGTTAGCGCCGGTTTTTGTTCCGGTGTATGCACGTATTGCCAAATTTTATACGATTTTTGTAGAATCCTCCGTTAGGGGCTCAATTTAATCACATACGCCACCTTGCTCTCATAAAGTGATGAAACTACTGTCATATTTTTGTGATAATTTCTGCGCTCACATATAGGGTAAGTGATCTCATTGAAAAGACCTTCAGTTTCCAAAACGATCTGCTTCACAAGCTCACATTTTAATGCCTTAAAAAATGTTCAATTAACAACTTTGATGGAGAAAAATTTGAAAAAATGGAATAGCAACGAATGCACGACCTCATTACAAGTTTTACATCATTATCGGCGATAGTTACCCTGATTTTTAGAATAAAACGTTATTAATTTACGTCGTTATTGAAAGGGTGAAATTAATCTCACTTAGGAAACAGATTGTTATAAGGGCAGAACATGAGGCAGTGAACTTCTTTGACAAAAACATTTTGCAACAATAAAAAATTTAATATAACATATGATAAATTTCTATGCAAGTCAACAAACAGGATCAAATAGATAGTAGGGTATACTGTGAGAGCACTACTCGTGTAATGCTTCTTGCCCAAAACCTTCACCTCCGTAATTCGGGTGGAGTTGTGCTTGATGAGCTTGTGCAGCGAATTGCTGGTGGTGTAGGTCTATACTTTTTTGTAATTCTTCTGGAATCGGCGGGGGTGTCGGTAAGTGTGCACCTTGGGGATGGAAGCCGTGCTCGTCCGCTGTGTAAGTGAGGGTGATTGGATGGCCGTGTTCGTCATGATAAGTTACAGATCCATGCTGAACTAAAGATTCGTGTTTCTTATCGCCGGCATTCTTTAAAAATCCATGTTCGTGAGCATGAATTCCATTTGCCGTTTCGAAGCTGTAAATGTTATGGAAATAAAAAATTACACGCATTACACTAATTACACGAGATTATCGTATTTGATTATTGGAAGTTTCACTAATTTCTCTGAAGAATTATTTGTATTCCAGATAACTTTCTATTTATTGTAAACGTTAAGGTACCATATGAGTATTTTAAACTGTAACATCTGTCGTGAAAGCATGCACTTTCATTACCAGATTAACGTATTATGTCAATTACAAGCAAATATTCGGCATCTCACCTAAACTTGTATCCTTCCTTGCTTTGTTGGAACTCCTGCTTCAAAATCGGAATCGGCGGCGTGGTGTGATGCTGATGAAGAGGTTCATGGTGCTGTTGAAGCTCCGGAAATTGGTGAATTGTGATGCAATAAATTTGGCCAATAATTGAAATTACCAAAATACCACTTGCCTATGAAAGATACATTCCCATTACCATACGTTAATAAACAGTCATTATTACTTACGCTGCTGTACATTTTCATAAATTGTTTATTGCAAGCTGAGCTACAAGTCTCGAATGTACTTCCTTCCGACTGATTTCTTCTTTATATATGAAGCCCTCATACCTCCGTTGCTGTTCGTTAATTAGAAACTAAACCTTACGCCATGTACATATAAGGTTTGGGTGCCGATACCTAAACAAATTAGCGCTAGAGACAATTGATAGAAACGCTGCATTGTATGGTAAAATTAATGTATTGTTAAATTAAATTTTATGTAATAGCCAATCAAATATCTACTGTTTCGTAATAGCAAACGTAGTAATGACCAGACCTGACGCAGTTATGTTTTATATCCAATTTTGATTTATAACGACTTGTTGAGGAAGCTGGAGAAATACGCTCAATTATGGCAAATGTTTATGTTTCTTTTACATTTAAAGCATTTTTGCAAGGGTAGTTTTCAGAGGAGCAATTATATCTGATTATAGGTAGTTGTAATGTCAAAAAGTAAAAATCGAAATCGCACATTTACCCCACCACCAAAAAACTGAACAACGAAAGGGTTTTCAAAGTTTTTAGATTCCCCAAACTTGGGTCGTTGCTCTACCATTTAACATAGTTTATAGGCTGACATAATCGTATGTTTTGTATTTTTCAATTAGGGTGAACGACGTTGTTCGTCAACAAGTTATAGCTGTCACAGATGACCAATAGCCATGACCGCATAAGTTTAGGTATGCATGGTGAAATTATTTAAATATATGTTGTCGTTTAATTACTTACCAAAAAAATCGATGCATCAATGGGTAACCGGTCAATGGATGCGTGTAATTTCACCCTTAAGATACTTCTTTGGCAATTAGAGATTATAAATAATGAAGAAGTTAATTCGAATAAGAATTTACAATGCCCCTTTTAAAAAAAGGTAACAGGTGGCAGGGATTACAAATTCTCGACCCTTCGCATCTGGTTTCGCTGAAAATGTATCACTTTATAAGAAGACATGCATTTGGCCGACGCGATAGCTCACGGTAATGCTAACGAAAAAAAAATCCTAGACATTCCAGACATTAGCTTTTTAATAAAAAATGTTATTATGTGACATCCTGTATAAGAGTTAAAAGGGAGACTGTAGTTATACCAACGTTATGAATATTTTTTTAATTTCGTTCACCTTACTTCTCGAAGTCACTTTCTATTGACTTTCTGGTGCTGGGATGAATAGCAGAAGACACAAAACGCACTCACCTAATTTCTGCCAGTAACAGGAAGACATAGATTTATTTATTTATTGTCTCCCTTTCTTGTTTTCGGTCCTCAACAGGTTTTCGCCCAATTACAGAGTGACCCGCATAATGATTTATAGAGGTGCCCCTGCAGAAGGTCTTAAGTTGTTCTATACTACTCCGGTATTTACCTTACGAATTAAGGAAACTGCAGGAAAACCGGCAGAATGCTCGAAACTGATCTAAGGAAATTCCCATCTCTGCCACAGATGAAAAATTCACCTCAACCCAGGTTCGAACACCCGACCTCCCGCCTATGTAGCCCAACGTTCTGTCAAAAAATGCATCAGGCGCATAGAAGTGGAAAGGTAAAAGCTTCCCGGATTTGTTATTGTCGTAAGAAGAAGAGTACCTTGTCTAGGTGAAACAAAAGACTATTTCCTAATAGGTGTTAATAATAGGAGTACAGAACTGAAAACATTCCGACCTCAGTTTGTATTATGGTCCACTAAAGAGCACTTTCTCCAGATAAAAGAAAGCAAACTCGCCTAATATCTGTTAGCAACAGGAACACAGAGGTGAAAGCCTTTTGATGACTAAAAATTGTCTCAGGTGCATAAAAGTGAAAAATCGTCGTTCCTGTCCATAAAAGTTCTCCTTCTCCAGCTGAAACGAAACAGATTCTCATAAATGCTTCCCGCAGTTTATCTAACTGTTCAAAAAGCGCACCTTATCCACGTAAAACAAAAGATAGTCTCATACTATCCGTTAGTAACATGAGCACAGAGGTGAAAACTTCTTCATGAAAAAACGGATCAGGCGCACATAAGTGAAAAAATATAACATGACTTCGTTCTGTTCAAATAGAGAGCAATTTTTCCATGTAAAATACATAGGTGAAAGCTCCCTGATCACGAAATGTTGAATCAGGCGGACAGAATCAGGTGCAAGTGAAAGGGGTATACCATGACTGGTAAAAGCTCCTGCAGGTTGTGTTCTTATTCAAAATAGGACGCCTTTTCCGGATGAAACAAAAAATTCTTTCATAACAGCTGTTAGTAACAGAAGCTCAGAGGTGAAAGCATCATGATAACACAATATGGTATCAGGCGCACAGAAATGAAAAAAGGTAAAGTGACTCGTTAAATTTTCCCGTAGTTCATATTCCGGAAAAAATGTGACAGGGGCATAGAATAGAAGAAGAGTACAAACTAGCTAACCTATCTAAAAATGCGCACTTTCTCCTTATGAAAGAAAACATCCCCTCCTCTTAGGTAGCTGTTAATGACAAGGGCACAGAGGTGAATACTTCCTGGCGAACAAAATTGTATTAGGCGATTAGAAGTAGTGAAAAAAGGTAAAATTCCCCGTAAAATATTCCCGCAGTTTCTATTCCGATCTCATGAAGAGCGCCTTTAAGCCTTTAGCGATTTAAAGATATGTTAAATTACTTTTCTGAGGCCACATGGATTTTGATCAAAATAAGTCAAAATCGTTATTTATGCACCAAGATCATTGGGAACAAGATTAAGAGCATTATCTCAATGCCCAAGACATGAATTTTGTAAGATTAACATAAATTATCGTTAAAAGTGATTGTTATACTGAGGATCCTTCGATATTTCGTTGTATCGGTTTATTTGTTTTATGAATTTTGGTTGCATACAATTAGGCGCCCTTTAGAAGCGAGTTTGTCATTTAAAGGTAGACAGAAGGAAAAACAATACATGTAAATCCATTAATTAAACAATTGCGTGTCGCCGTGATCTTATAATTATAATTTTGCTAATAGGTTATCGATTTTGGAAACTTTAGTCCATCGTCAGACCTTGTTAAAATACATTATGTGAAAGGGTGGACATTATAAAATTGTATTTTAGCAAGGTCTGGCGATGGACTAAAGTTTCCGAAATCGATAACCTATCAGCAAAATTATAATTATAAGATCACGGCCACACGCAATTGTTTTATTAATAGCAACCTGATAATTCAAAATGGAGCGATTCATCGATAGTGTAAATCTATATCTATGTTTATTTCTTAATAAATAAATCTGTGACCGGCATTTTCTCCTGGAGAGCATAATAGTGCAGTACACACACCATAAGAGTTTCTGTTAGTAACATGGCTTGCAAATTATGAAAAATGCCCAGATTTTCTCCAAACTAATTTTCCAACCAATAACACACCAAAATTGTATAAGGGGCTACTTGTTTCCTGACACATCAAATTTGTTTTCTTCGTATACGAGTATTTACATTAATGGGAACACTTTCTTTAAGTGAATTTATATTGTGTAGCAAATTGAAAGTTACTTTTATTTATCAATGAGCATTATATTAAATACCAGATTTACAAAACCAATTGATCAATATTATCTGTATCGACCGGATGAAAGTAATTAATCGAGTTACTATTTTGAACAAGTTTCTACCAGCTCGGCGTGAAGAAAAACAGATCTGCCTCAATCGTACCCCGACATTTTAATTTTGTTAAATTGTTAATAAAAACATTATTTTATGACATGTAGTAGGTATTCCATTATAATTACGCGAGATATCAGTAGACGTTATCGGCGATAGTGTGCAATTTCAGAATAAAAACTAGTTGGAGCTTTGGAGCTTATATTCCCAACTTTATGTCAAAATGTGAATATGAAACGCTAATAATAATTATTAAATTTTGAGTTGGGGTTAGACTGTTAGTTGTAAAACAACGTTGTAACGTAAATGAGAAGTTTTTAGACACTGATTGGAAGTTTATGTAAATTTTGCAGTTCAGTCTATTTTAGTCAGTATTATTGAGGTATTGAAGTTGCACCCTAGATTTTGCAGATCCTTATTTTGTCACTGTAGGCTTTTTTATTTCTTATCTTTGCACAAAGCTATTGGAAGAATAAACTTATTGAGTATTAATTACGGTTTTAGTATACGATTAGCTTAGTGTCAGACGTTAAACATAATAGATTAATTTTGTGCTTGATATTTTTACTTTGTCGAAATCAGAATTTTTTCACACGTTTGGGTTGCTTCGTCTTGGAGTATGATATTCGGAAAGTTGCAAATTTGATGGGCTCTTGACTTATTTAAAAAAAAATGTTTTGGTTCCTTCTACCAGTCATTTTTATCGCATTTCCTTAAGAGGAAATTGCTTAATTTAAATTTGTTGTTATCATCCATTTGTTACAGGCTGTAAAGCGCAGTCGGAATTGTTTATTGCAAAAATGCCTATAAATTTGGGCATCACTGGAATTACCTAGCTGATTTGGATGGTTTTTTTACCGCCGTTAATACTCGAAGATGCGGGAGAAAATTAGTACCCGCGATCACTGGCTTTGTTGTGGCATTTAATATAAATTGATGTTGGTGTATTTTTAAATTAAAATTAAAAACAAAAGAAATGAATAAGAAAAAAAGGGTTAGTTGCAATAAGCAGCTAAATCGTCAGCCAATTTGCCTAATCAAAACGGTACGTTTACTACGAGTTACGCAAAAGAGAAACTAGTGCTAGGGAACGTAACCAAAATGACAGTTCAATTTTACTGTACCTGAATTATTTAGCAAAAGGTAAAACTAATTGGAGTTGAGAAATTAGCTTTCGTGTGTTAAACATGGTATCGATACAACGATAAAAGTCTTCTAAAAAAATGTCTACTTTAGAAAATTTTGCAAGTACATTTTTTTGTCCGTTTTTTATGCTCTTTCTGTTGACGCATAGTAAAGATATGGTTTTCATTTGAAAATTTCGAATTTTTGCCCAAAAACCGATTGCCAACGCTTATGCGTATTATTTTCGAATCACATTTGAAAATCAGAGCAATAACAATTGATAGGGTGGACTTTAGCTGTCCATTCGTGTAAAAAACATTTTGCCAAGTTGTCAGACAACAGCAATATGGCTAATTTACTGAATCTCTGAAACTGTGAAAAAATGTCAAATATATACGAAACCATGTTAGTTAGACATACCATTGTTTGACACTGATTTTTTATGAGGAATTCGAAAATGTCATCAGAAAAGATAGTGTCATTTGAAATAAGAAAGTTCCGGTATCGTTCTGATACAACCGAAAAAGTGGCTATCTTGAAAATATTTTTAAATAATTCCTTTTGATCGATTGTTCAAAAAAGGTAATGGGTCCAGAATCGAAATTCCAAATCGGTGCTGAGATACTTCTAATGGTCCACTTGAAAATACCACCCTGTATATTTCGAACGTTTATTAAAATATGAAATAGGGAAAAATGTTAATATGATCTGAACATTTTATTAAGACTGGAAAATTGCGTCTTCTCCATTTACTTTTGCTAAAAGTGCTTAATTAATTTACCGTTGAACCATTTTTGCTAATGTCATTGGTCGTAACTGAAGAACTTATATGTTATGTAACCGCGAAAAGGCAGCAGATGTTCAAACAAACGACACTAGAAAAATGTATCCGAATGTAAATTTTGTAATTTAAAAGTCAATATTTGAAACCTGTGTTTTAAAGAATATTAAGTAGTCAAATGCATCCCGACGAGTATTGAGAGGGACTAGTGAAGTATTCTGACTGTCGCTGGTATCTATCATAATCGTGCCCTAGCGATATATGCGCCATGATATAAACCAACACTGAGCTAAGACGAGCTTGAAAATGTTTGCCGTTATTCTGTGGCTTTTTTCTGATTGTACAGATTTTTGGGTAAATACCTACGCTCAATCACCCATACAAAAATTTGGTCAAGCGGTTAGCGGGGGTAGCCCCAGAAACTGACCAGCGAAAAATTGATTTGATATACTTCAATATGAATACTGGCGAAGTGAACAGTCTTTAGGAAAACAACCCCTTGTAAGATTTAGGGAAGAAAGAAGGCATGAATAGAGATGATATATTAATGGAGAAACCCACAAACAAAGTTTCTCCGATTTTATGTTAATGTCCATGAAGGTATATTATACATACAAGGACGTCTCGTCTTAACTATATTTAAAAAAAAAGGAGACCCGCTTAAAAGTGTTTCTATTACTACCTAGAGAATTTGGTATAGTACATTAGGATGGTTAAATTACTTATGTTTGGCTTTTCGTTGCCGTATGCGATTCTCCTCCTCTTCCTCTTCTTCTGGATGTGCCGCGTTCCACTCGAGAGCTCTTAATATCCATGGAGGTATCGGTGGCGGTTCGGGAAGCACATTTCCCTGGACCTGAAACCCGTTTTCATCGGCGATGTAGACAATTGAAACTGGAATATTTCCCGGAGCCGTGTACTGGTAGGAGCCTTGCACTCCCAAACTTCCAGATTCCTTCACATGGGCTTGCTCCTGGGCAGCAATACCGTTGTCCGCTTCGTAACTGCAACAGTGATTACGTTAGCTGTAATTTGCAATTCAAAAACGAAGGTATAACCTAACCTCCACCTGTATGAGCCATCGCTGTTGACACCTTCACTTTCGTACTTTAGGATCTTGCTATTTTCGCCGGGAACCACTCCGGACACCAACACGATCGACTGCAGACCAACAATGGCACAAAACAACTGAAATTTGATCTTTGATTACTAGTCTTGGAGAAAAATACGTACACTTTGTATGTGCATGATCTCGAGCAAATTCTAAAATAGTCTAACCCTCCGTGATTACTAACTCGCTGTATTTATACAGTCCCACCTTTAAATAGTATTTTGGTGCATTGTATGGGAAAATCGTTGAAATCGTACTTGACCTTATGAACTTATACAATTATTGTGATGAAATTGAAATCAAATTTAGTGTTCGTTTATGCAACGTCTGTCATTTGCACATTTATTATAATTTTCGTTTATAGCAGAATTTTTTTAATTATCATACCGTTCCCTCAATTGGTTTATACCAAGCTCACGTTCGTGATGGGTAGACCCGGAAGAGTACCATTTAATAAGTTACATTACGGATCGAAATTCTTACTAGGCTTTGTACGAGGTCAAACGCCACTAATTGTAATGCGAAGATGTTGTGTAATCCGTCTTACCTTTCTTGTTATTTATGGATGTGCAAATAAGGACAAATTTCTTTGTTTTGAGAAATTTTGGAATATATTCTTGACAATCAATAAAATTTATTATTCGTTAAGGTCAACTGTGTGTAAGGTACATTTAATTCTTCTGTGAATGTGGATGCCATTAGACCTCGTTTCGTAAGCTTATAAACTTATAATGTTATAGGGATAATTTCAGTAGGAAGTTCCAGCCATTAACGGGACAGCTCTAGGGATAGGCTCCTTCAAGAGCTATCGTTACTTTTTTAGCCCTTTTTGTTGACACTATCAAGATACGCGGCTGCTACCTTTAGAAACTTGAATTGGACTGACATTTCTACAAAGGTTGGGAAATTTCTTAACATTCTTCTCATTCTAACATTTCTTAACAAGAAGCTAGGTATCTCTACGTGTAACACTGGCTCATAATCCAGAACAAAATTAAATCGACGAACCTATGAATGGGACCATACGGATGAAGTGGAATGAAGTGCATATGGAGCTGTGATCATCTGTTGTTGAATGTCAATTTGCTTGAATAATTCTCCATTCATGCTTTGCTTCTAATTACCTTACCTATATACTTACATGTATGGATATGTAGCTACCTACATACGTAATTAGTTTAGGGACAACCGATCTCATGTAATGAGATGATTCTTGGAGGGATGGGATTAAGATATCATCTCCAACAAAATACGTTTTCCAATTTTGGAAGAAAAAGCGAGGTAGGTACAAACGTACTTAGATTTTCTTTAATTAGGTAGGTTTAGGATAATTTGTTTCACATTTTCATTTCGTTCCAGACTACAGAGTGCGATGTTAAGCATCAGTTAGTAACGAAAGATTCCACAGTGTCAAATTGCACAATTTCCTTTTTTGTATATCAGCGTGAAGTTAGCCCCTCAACTTCAAAATAATGAAACGTCAAATACTGCCTTCGTTTGCACATTGATTGCACATTGGGGCACACTTCGGTTTTTCGTGTGCACATTACTCTAAAAAAAGATATTGAAAAAAACAAATTGGGGGGGGGGGGGACAACTTCACGATTCTAGCCCCCCAACATTAAATTAATGGAACGCGATGTACTTCCTTCGTTTGCACATTAATTGCACATGTGGGCATACTTCGATTTTTCATTTGCACATTTCTCTAAAAAAAGATATTGAAAAACAAACTTGGGGGGCCAACTTCAAAATTTTAGTCCCCCAACATTAACATAATGGAGCGCTATATATTTCAATCGTTTTCATTTTACGGTAAATCATGATTTTAGCCCCTAACCTTAAAATAGAATTGTATATTTTACCTCCCGAAAAAAGAAATTAAGAAAATAAATGGTGTTGGGTACATTCATCCATTTTTATCGAATGTCACCAAATTAATTTCGACTGATAGATTTTGGTTTCTCTATTTCGGAAACGGAGTGTTTGATTTCTGTTAGATTTCGTTGGCACACCGTCTTTAGTATTAACATGGAAATTTGTGCGGCGATCTTCATTTTAATATTTAGCGCCATTTTTAATGCATTTTCCAACTCATGTTTGAAGTCGCTATTATGGACACTTCCTCCGTCCGTCCGTCCGAGGCCTTAACTACTCCTACAGTTCTCAAGATATTTCTTTTTTATAGAAATGTAAAATTTTACCCAAAGATTCTTCTAGTACAAACAAGCATATCGCATATTGTAAAAATCAGCATATTTTAAAAATCAGGTGTGCGCATGCGCAAACTGTGTAATATCAAATTTCTTTTTTATAGAGATTTAAAATTTTACCCAAAGATTCTTCTAGTTAGCACAAACAAGCATATCGCATATTGTAAAAATCAGCGTCTTTTAAACATCAGGTGTGCGCATGTGCATACTGCTCAATGCTAAGTTTTTTTTATTTATAACATTTATGCCATACATTATTTTGTACACATAAATACTCCGTTATATGACCTTTACGCTAAAGCTACATACTCGTTAAACTTTTTTGAATTTTTAATACAGAACGCTATTACAGACATGTTCGAGGGGTATACAGAGTGTTACATGACCGCATGTAAAAAAAATTGGGTGATAGAGGGGATCAAGACAAGCACATTTTCCAAATAAACCGAGAGTCCACCACCAAAGGGTGCACCCTTACATGGGGTTTTTGAACATGAAATTCACGAATCTGGAATTAGTTTTTGAAAATTCGAAAAAAAGTTTCACTGCAATTTTTGGCCGGACAACGAAAATGAAGCGAAATACACGAAATTTGTTGTGTACATACTTGATGAGTTAAGGAACAAAACGGAACGGTTTTTTAAAATAACTTTTTAAACAAAAGATTTGATGATTGGGCCTTCGGGTTACAAAGTGTCCTCCGCCTACGAGTGAGTGATCTAATTTCGCATGTAGTTAATTGAAAATGTCGCAAATAACAAAAAAAATAACGATTTAAATCGATATCTACTTAAAAAGCATTTTCCCATCACCCGCAGCCACGAAATTTTTGGAATCGAATTTGCAGACTTGGATACCATAATCGACGTATCGAATTTTTTGTGATCATTTAATCATATCGACTTATCGTTATTTTTTTGTTATTTGCGATATTTTCAATTAACTACATGCGAAAATAGATCACTCACTAGTCACTAGTAGGCGGGGGACACTTTGTAACCGGAAGGCCCAATCTTCAAATGAGTATAACTTTTGTTTGAAACGATATTTTAAAAACCCTTCGACAATTTTGTTCCTTAACACAACAAATTTAGTGGAATTTTCTCCATTTTCGTTGTCCGGTCAAAAATTGCAGTGGAATTTTTTTTTGAATTTTCAAAAATTAATTCCAGATTCGTGATTTTCATGTTGAAAAACCCCCAGATACCAAATTTCGTCGAAATCAGAATTTTTTTCGCACCCCCAAGTTGGAGCGCACCCTTTCGTGGTACCAATTTTGAAAAAAAATTCAAAATCGGATAGGGCATACCCCAAAAACCTATTCAATTAAACAAGAATTCCAAATTTCACCATCTCTTTGGGGATGGCTCCCAAACGGAACACGTTGGACCCTCGGTTTATTTGGAAAAAGTGTCTGTTTTGATCCCTTCTATCACCCAATTTTTTTTAAGGTCATGTAACACCCTGTATATAAAAGTAGCATACTTAATTAACGGTGAAACTTTAGCCACTATTCTATATGCGTGCGAAACAATGAGCTAAATAATTATTCCAACTGTTAATAGTGCGTATGAAAAAATATGCACAGCAACTAATATACCTATTAATCAATTATTAAATGCCTAATAAGTAGCAATAAAAATTTCTCTAGAGCCCCTTTTCGAGATTCATATGCGTCTTATTCGAGCTCCATCCAGTGGCGGATTTAAATTTTTTGCGCCCCGAGGCACACCGAAAGATATGCGCCCCAAAATAATCTTTGAATTGCCATAAATGTTAAGATGCTAAAAAAAATCAAGTTATAACTTGAAATTTTTAAAACTAATATGAATAGAAATACAGTATCACACGTCAAAACTTGCATTGTTGATTATCGTTCTTACAGTTACAGTTTGTTTAAACTATCTACCAATTCCGATTTATTTCATAATTTTAATTACAGATTTTTGTCATTTGTAACTTGTTAGGGACTTATTTTAAAACTTAAAATGTTACCTCAAAAATTTTGTGCAAAAAATGCCGCCCTCTAAAGCTGCCGCCTCTAGGTATGTACGTGCCTATTGAGCCTATATGTAAAACCACCACTGGCTTCATCAAGTCCATCAAGTTAGCCCCCGCAACGAAATATATGGCGCTCCATTATTTTAATGTTCGTGGACTAAAATCACGAAGTTGCCCCCCTCCCCCCAAATTTGTTTTTTAATACCTTTTTTTAAGGAAATGTGCACACGAAAAATCTAAGTGTGCCTGAATGTGCAATCAATGTGCAAACGAAGGAAGTACATGATGTTCCATTATTTTGAAGTTGGGGGTTAACTTCACGCGGGTTCTTGTATTTTTACAATTAAAAGGTCAATCGCCGGGGAAAATTCACATTAACTACTTGTGCGGAATGAAATCCATTTTAGGATACTCAAGGGTACGCACTCGATCTGATGTCATTCTTCATTGCTGTATAGGTACATGCGTTGTATTTGTTTACTTTTATGAAACAAGCACAACTAATGAATTATTTATCTGCACATACAATCTGAAGATAATGATCATTACAGATAATTTGGTATTTTAATTTTTGAAAACTTGTTTCTTTTAATAGACGTCTGGTATGGTATTGCCAGAGCTTATATTCTTCACAGTATCAAATTACTACTCCCCAGTTAAAATCGATAATTTGCATCTCTGTAAATAGGGTAATTGTAATTGTAAATTAATTTTGATTTAAATGCACGAGACCGATATCTACGCAAGTAGGTACCTATAGTCCTATACGTATCTTCAAAACGTGTTTACAAAACGAACAGTTAATATTAATGTGACCTCTATTAGAATAAGAAAAGAAATCACTATATCATATTTGTGAGAACTATTTAAATGTGAGTGCCGCTTTCAAACGCATTATTACGCAATACACATTACTCACTTTTAGGTAACGAGGGTGACTGGATTAATCGTATGTTGTAAACCGACGCGATAGAAAAGAGGCGAGGAAAGAGAACAAGAGATTATACAAATGGACAGGTCCGCGAAGTTGGAGCTACCACATGGCACGTGAAGATTTTCAATCTATCGACACGCTAAAATTTAGTGCTCATTTTGTGCCAATTTTTGCTGTAATGCAAATGTCGTGTTCAAGCCATGGATGTTCAAAATTTTCAGTTGTCTCTTTTTTCTTTTCACTTCTTTTCCCGAATCTCATTATCTTTTCTAGATTTCGCTCCATTCCTTCCTTTCCCAATACCTTTCCATCTTTCCCATCATTTTCTTCATCTGTTCCCATGATCGTACGCCTATGCCAGGGATTATATCTTCCTTCTTCCCACTACTATCCCTCCACCTTGACCCTGTCTTCTTCCATGTCGCGTGAGTAGAGATTAAATACGATTGGGCTAAATGGAAATCCCCGTCTTAAGCTCTTTACACGTCCAAAACATTTTAAACCCCTTCTCTTCTTTTCTTACCCAAATTTTGTCTTTCTGTATAGTTCCTTGATTTTGTTGTTTTCTTTAACTTCTTGTCAATTTTCCCATATTCCATACGTTTTCTCTTTCTACTCTCTCAAACACTGTCTATGCATGAAAAGCGAAGACACCTTTTCGCCCTTTTTTTCCAATTCCTTTCCACCAATCTTTGTAATACATACAGTGCTATTTATTAGGAAGTGGACATAAAGATTACTCCCTATGTACTTTTAAATGACAAAATCTCTTCTGAAGGACGCCTAATTGTATACAACCAAACTTTTTAAAACAAATAAAGATCTGGGTGTCAGATTAATCAATTTGAATGCTGTTGTTTTGCCTTCTGTATTTTCATTTTCGTTCGTGTCCGAAATATTCAACAGAAGAAGAAGAAGAAGTTGATCTTGTAAAATGAAGTAGTGTCAGTAACACTTCAAGGAGCGTAAGAGATTTATTTTCTGTGAAATCAAAGCAACAATATGCAAATTAATTAGTAATGACAGCTTTCTTTTGAAAGTAGACATAGGGAAAAACAATACACTATTCCCAATAAATAGCACTCTATATGAAGTCAACCGTTCCCCTCCCTTTTTTTAGCCCATTTGTGTTTCCTTCAATATCCTCCAATATCCTCCAATAACCTCCTCTTTTCCGTTTTCCTTTCTAGTCTTTCATTCAGTATCATTGCATAGATCCGATATACCCTCTTTATTATAGTAATTCCAATATTCCAATATAATTTACCACACAATCGTTGTTCCCTCTTTTGAAGATCGGCGCGACTTATCTCTTCCTTCCATTCTTCCGATAGACCCCCTCCTTTCCATACCTTGTTTACTAGATTTATAAATCCTTCCCTTGACTGTATCTGTGACGAAAATCCAAGCCTCGTCTCTCCTTGTCACTTTCTCTTTCTTCAGTCTTTTTTAATGCTGCTCGATCTCCTCTCTTGAAATCTCATCTTCTTCAACCTCTTCTTCTGCTACCTCGTCCATACCATAGAGAAACAGAAAAATACGAAGAGCAAATCGAGGAAGTAAAAACAGTAAATGATTTTTGATAGGTGATACCTAAACAGTGAAAAGAATTTGAAAAAGTGGGCTGTGGGAGGGAAATACAATTAGAGAAATGGAAACAACATTTTTTCAAGTTACTACAAGGAAAGCAGGACAAAGAGGAGTTCTACCTTCCTTGTAGTAACTTGACTGTCTCTCTCTACTTTCTTTATCGTTATACGTGGTTTTTTATTTTTAATTATTTAATTATCTCTTCTATAAGTTCTACTTTTTCCTTATCTTATTTCTCTTCTCTTTTTCTTCATTTTCCTTCCTTATTCCTATTTCTTCCATCATCTTCTTTTTCATTTCATCTATTTGCTCCTTGGTCTCCTTCCCGCTCTTTTGCCGCTTTTTTTATTTCCTCCTTTACTGGGTCCATTAATGCCATCATTACTTTCTCCATGTTTTCTTCTTCTTCTCCTCTCAATTCGCTCCCTTCTCTTTTTCTATTTCTCTCTTGTGTGTGCGTGATGTGTGTTGCCTAGCTGCACTGGGTCATTTGTTTGCTTGTGACATGGGTTTACTTCGCCTCTTTTTCAGCCTTTACTATTGTAGCGAATAGAAATCCCCACTAATCATCGGCGATTAGAAACTATGGCGAATGTGACGCATTCTTTCCGGGAAATATGAAGTGTTTGTCCTAGAACATTTGGAAGCGTTTGTTCTTCTACTTAGAAATGACCAAATCTCTTCTGAAAGGCGCGTAATTCTGTGTATCCAAAGTAACTTTTTAAAACAAATAAATCTCTGGCTGTCATATTAAGTAATTTGAATATTGTTGCTTTGGCTTCACAGAAAATAAACCTCTTACGCTCTTTAAACTGTTACCTGCACTATACTAATTGACAATATCAACTGTTTCTTCAGTTGAATACGTCGCACACGGACGATCACAAAAACACGGAAGCCAGAGCAACAGTATTTGAATCAATTAATTAATATGACAGCCAGATCTTTATTTTTTTGATTGTATTAGGCGCCCGTCAGAGAAATTGTGTCATTAAAAAGTAGACCAAGTAAAAATAATACACGTAAATCCCTATGTCTACTTCTTAAGAAATATCACTGTATAAGTATCTATTTACACTTTTTGTGAACTATGAATAGGGGTGATAAGCGAAAAGTGCTAAAATTTTGACACTTTTTGAACACTACATCTAAAGCCCTATCCAGAATTCGTCGCGAATTCTTATGCATGAGTTCCAAAAGGATTTAAGGAAGGTTGCAGCTTAGTACTTTTTTTGGGAAGCGCGATCTTCTTTTGGTAACGACGACCGTAAACCGGACTACAACTATATTGCCTGTGTTTTTTCACAAGGTGGTTAAAATGATTCAATTACAACAATCTGTCCAAATGCCATGAACTTATTACACTGGTTTTGATCTCATTTCTCAAAGAATTGTACTTGTTGCCTTGAGAACTCGTTTGATACTTGTCATTGATTAAAATGTAAAAACTAAGTATTTTAAAGATTCTTCAGAATAACTTAATTGCATATGATCATGTAACTACTACAATTTCATAAAACAAGTTTGTAACAAACCGTCTACGGTGGGCCCCAAAGAAATCTGCACCCGTAGAAGGAGTATTCCACACTAAGCGCTTCTTGCTGAATCCTTATTTTTATGCTAATCCCAGTAATAAATTTAAAATCAATTTCACCTTTTTCATTTTAGAAAAATGTAAGAAATCGTCAATTACTTCATTTGATTCTTAATTAAATGTATTTATTAAAATTATTATTGGCAACAGAATAAATTAAACTTGAGGATGGAATCTACATTTCGTAATAAATCACAGAAATACGCGCATTACTGCTGCTGATGTTGGCGTTGTTGTGGCCCATTGTACTCTTGTTGGTATTGGTTTTGTCTGTTGTACTCTTGTTGTAGCTGGTTACGTTGGGACTGGCGTCCTGGTTCGCGATAGTCCTGACTTTGTTTCGCCTCGGGTGTGTATTCACGCGCGGCCTGTTCCTGATTTACACTTACTATATAAGAGGTTTGGATTTGGTGTAGGCGTTACTTACTTGTTGTTGCCTAATTCCAGCGTAAATTAAGTCTAGACCTTTTTGTACCTCTGGACTGACTGGTGGTGGAGTTGGGAGGTGGTCGCCTTCTACGTGGAAACCTGTTTCATCGGCCGTGTATCGGGTGACGATAACTTCGCCGTTGGGGGCTGTGTATGTGAAGGATCCTTGTTGAACTTGAGCATGGAGGGTTTCACCCTTTGCATCTGGATCTGGTCCTAAATCCTTTAGGTAACCTTCTTCCTGAGCTAAGATGTTGTTGCCAGTTTCCCATCTGAAATGCGGTTAGTTTGAGATTTGCGGAAAGTTCGAAATTACGCATACAGTGCTTTGTAGCTACCATCGGCACCTTGTTCTTTATCAAACCGAATTATCGGAATATACGTAGTCGACTCATGACGTCTATTCTCGTGATACTGTTGGGGTGGCTCTTGGTAATGTTGATTCTGCTGGCCTTCTTGTTGCTGTGGTTGCTGTTGGTGTGGCTGTTGGTGTGGTTGTTGGTATCTTCTCCCGTGTGATTCTTGAGCGATGCACGCCCCCACAAAACAAAGAGTCGCTACCTACATACGAAAAAGGCACTAATTATGTCAAATACTAACGTACACAAATTTAAACAATAATGTCGGTGCGCGACCCATCCTACTATTTACATTCCCACACCCATAAAGAAATGCATTTGTTACATAATGGTCTGTAAATCACGAACATAAAAGCCATAGGTCAGTAATAGTGAAAGGTAAAAGGACGCGCATACTTACCAAATACTTCATCATAGTTCAGCACTGACTTTGTTAAATGTACCATGAGCATCCAGTGAAATCTGTATTTATACCCTCTCTACTTAATGTCGCACCACTCTAAGAATACGACGATTCATTTAGATTGACCCCACTGAATCGTCTTGTTAAGTAGGAACATCTCTCCTGCATCTTCATTTCATGCAGATTTGTAATCAAATATTAAAACCACTTACACCAATTTGTTGGATGTGCATTGCCAAGTTGCGTAAATTGACATCGGCCCACATCCGCATCTTGGAAATTAACCTTTAAAGGTACTGCACTTTAGCAACCCAAATGCGTGATGTTACAGCAACACATCAAGCCATCAACCTCTTGTACAAATCCCTCGCTAAGCGTTTCTGTTAATTTCCGTCGGGCACACCCAAAAATCGTGTTCCATTTCATAATATTTTAATCGGCACGGCGGGCGATGGCATTTTTAAATTGGGAAAGCTTCTGGTCGTCAGAAAATTAATGCAAATTGAAAAGCGCAACCACTGCTGCCAAGTCTAACCTCAATTGCCTACAATTAAAATTAAATTAGCTTTCTTTAAACGAAATGTCATCGTTTCTATTAGTGAAATATTATATCATATAGGTACATGACGAGTCTATTGTATGCGTATCGGTGAACACTCGATGCAAATCACTTTTTTTTATCAAGCCGAAGTGAAAGTGAGGATGGGGTTCGTCTAAACGGTACACTTCTAGGTTTACCTTGAAATTACTTTTTACATGTATATCGCAAAGGTGCTTTCCTGCATCACTAATTTATATAAGAAAATACCATTAGTCTCGCTCGATCGTTATGTCAATTTTGGGAGAAATGTTGTAATAGAAAGATTACCATAAAAAATGGATCTTTGGTTTTTTTACGTAACGATTAATTGTAATTCCCACGAACTCGTGCTTCTTGTGGTTTTTACCCAAATTGTCTCTCATTACCGAACTAACTTCCTGCTCGCTGTACCAGTAGAAGGTAGCTTTACATTTGTGAAATGAGGATCTCATTGAGAAATTCGCACGGTGTACTACAAACGAAAGGTATTCTGCACCATGCGGCTGTTTTATTGCACACTTGATATGTCTTTTATAACCGCAGGCAATCTCCGATCAACTCATTAGCGGTTCTAGACGTGCATTTATTTCAAGGTCTCTTCAAAGTCATCACTTCTGCAAGAACGGATGCTTGACTAATGTAATCAGTTCCGAGATTCTTTGCACCAAGGAGTAATCCGCTTGGGAATTATCTAGGATTGATTTAGTAAAATTAAGAATTGCTAGATTTTCTAACTGTACTTTTTAGTACCTACGCATACCCATCGCGATACAATTCTTCCAGCATTTCTCATGGTAGGTGCAGTAGACTATATTGGTAAATATAGTGATTTGCCATCTCAATCGTAATACATGATGATTTCGCCATCACAAAATAAGAATTAAAGGCTTCGAAATGCAAGACATTGTCCCAGATATTATTTTAGATGTCATCCTTTGATCTGAAAAGTGAAATGATCATAATTGTATTTAAAAAAAGAAGAAAACAGCGACAAAGAAGATAACCTTCTAAAGCATTCAAAAATATCTGCTCTGTCTAACTTCATGCCTATACAATGCATTCCCCCCGAGGTCGGATGCAGGAAAATCCAGTTCCTAAACCTATCGCAAAGCTGGGGCCACGCTCCAGATAATGGAGGCAATTCTTCCTAGGCACCATTCTGGATTAAATCTCGAACGTCTTCTGTTTTTCTGATCTAGCGCCAATTGCCAATACTTTTATTTTTTTTAATTTTTGGGTGAAAATCATCATTTTACAATTTTGGGTTGAGGTAAGAATTTTTCATCTGTGGCAGAGATGGGAATTTCCTTAGATAAGATAATTAATCGACACGACCCCTAAGGCAACCACTCCACGAAGGAGAATAAAACGCATGAAAGACAATTTTATTTCGACCGACACCATTACCGGTTTTTACAGGTAAATAGAAATTGCCTTTTATACTTTATTACAGTCTTAAAACTATTCTGGTTTTTGACCTCTGGCCAACCGGCAGGAGCTGCTCGTATAGAATCGAATCATGTAACGTCCCGTTGTTTCGTTGAATGTACCCTTAGTTTGAGTAACCGACTTAATACGTTTTTAGTGTGGAATGTAGTTGGTAAAAGTCGGAATGAGGGGAATATCATTGTTGGTTTTGTCATTGAAATGATCAGTACTTACATTGAGAAAAATGTGGAAATTTCATGTTAAAAAATTCAGAGGCATCAATTGTCTAAATTATATATATCTAAACGTATTTCCGTGAACCCCTGTTAATATTTTTTCGAGATAAAGTTATTTTCATAGGATTCTTTATTTGGTTGACACGTTTGTTTTTAGGATATGCCATGTGTTTCAATTTAATTACCTATCTTTCTTTTTTCTATATCGTAATCCGAAACCCATTTATAAATAGGATACGTAAGTTTCAATTAATTTGATTTTAGTCTGATATTGGTATTGTAGTTTTTGGATGTATCTTTTCTGTAACAAACAATAAAATGAAGTCTCGTCTTCTTATGGAATGCTTGAACTAGTTCACCAACCTATCATTGAAATGTTCCGCTTAGCTAACACATGGTATTTAAGATCAGATGTTTTGCAATGCAATGTGTGAAATGTCGGGGCAAATTGCCCTGAAATTCATCTTTTGCCTTTGTCGTTAATGTTAAATCAAGGCAATTGAGTTTGTTAATTTATTTATCTTTCTGTCGTAAATGAGTTGTAGCTTATGAGTAATCGGCTAAGCTGAAAATGTGCATTTAGTGTAACCTTGCCCACAATTGCCTTGTCTTCTACCCTTACATTTTTGTATGTATACTCTCCTGGAGGATTACTGTTGTATTTTTTTGCATCCCTCTCATACGATTACCTTTTGTTGTGTAATTGTTTGGGCAATGAAGTTGCTATTTATATCGTCTGCATTCAAGTCAGTTTTATGCTCTCGCCATGAACTCAAACCTTTTCTTTATAAACAGCTCCAACGCAAAAGTGACGGATCGTGTCGAACCTCAAGGTTTCGATATCTTCCGCAACGCAAGGCGCAACCAACCAAAATCTACTATTCCTATTTACATCCGTTGCCGGGCTGCACCATCGCAAAGTTGGCGGCTCGCTTCTATTATCGCAAAACCCACCGCTTTTTTCAAATGCAAACAAAAGCGGGGTAGCAAACGCAGAACAACAAATAGTAAGATATAAAATAAAAGAATGATTTTTCGAAGGATATAATAGTTATTTACATATGAGTATGGTAAATCAAGGTTTACGTTAACGAGTGAGATGTTTACTGCCGAAGCGTAGCTGAGGCAGGAATTTCGAAACGAGTAACGTAAACTGATTTGACATACAAATAATGTAAAACATTTTATTTCATACTGCTCTATTTCTATTAAAATACCATTTTGATTAGAATGTTGTAGGTACACATTAAAATAAAAGCAAAAGTCGATCACTTGATTTGTTTGATCTGACAGTGGTTTGACAAATATCAATGCATACGTTTAGATGGATGTCAGTTGCGGTTGCTAGGCAAAATTTCCAGTCTGGTAAAAATTTTCAGTCTGGTAAAATACGATTTACCAGACTCAAATCAGTCTGGGAAAGCGGCGATTACTAGATAGTATGAAATAAATGCAATTTCGGCATATTTAAATTGACGACTAAGTTGATATAAACGTATAAACGTTGTTGTGTAGTTATTTTTAACGCGTTTTTTTTTAAAAGTAACGGTTATACATTTACTTTGGCTGTTCGGTCGGTCGCAGGTGTTTCCAGTAATCAAAAAACGTGAAATGTGCCAAATTTGTTTATTTCCGAATTTGATTTGTGGTTATTCGTAACCCCCCGCCCCCCAATTTACCTGTACTAAATTGAAATGTTTTTCATATCCCGTCATTATTTTTGGTGTTAGACCGAAATAACGTCTACATGAAATTGTTTACACAACAATATATTCGGTAAATTGTTTAAATGTAGGGACGGTCAATCCCTTTAATTATTGCAATAAGCCCAATTGCAGTTTTTACCCAATCAACCGATACATCGCGTCTCCACTTCATTTTTCTTAGTACCATTTTGCGACGCCATGTTTTCGAGATATTCCCATTTCACCATTGCACCATGACTATCACGTCTTTTTCCACCACTTTCCTTTTGTAAGTACCCTCTCTTGACGCTTCTTGTAAGGGTACTTTCCAGTATGGTCTTAAATTTTATCGATTGAGCGAAGTTGGGTCAACATCTTGTAAATTACCGTAGGGCACGACTAAGTGGAATGACGTTTAGTGCAATACATTTATTTAGCTCCTGTTAATTTCACTTACTTAATTGGCCGGATTGAAATTTCTAAAATCGGTCCCAATTAACACCTTTTGTTAATTGGTATGGCGTTGAAATTTTAATTTACCATAGGAATAAGCAGTGTTCAGGAAGTATTTTTGTAAAGAGGATTGTCGGGCTTTTAAAATAATGTATCACTCGAAGAAGGCCACATAATGTAATTTTAATATGGCTGTAACTGGGGGTGCTGGGATAACTGCTAAAACTAAGGTAAACCTTCCATTAAAGCACACCCAAATAGGCGTGTTTTTGCATAGTTTCTTTTTCTTATCAGTCACAAATGGCAATCGATGATTCGTTTTAAAACGAAAGCCCCGTACAGTAGCTTGCTTGGTTTGTGGCCTACTTTGAAAAAGGAGATAAGGTAACCTTCGAACTGTAGGCAACTTGTGATAACCAGTTAATCCAAAATGAATGACTTATCTTATCAATTTTATGTTGCAGAAAAGTTCTTAAACGTGCGTAAATTTCCAAATGTTTAGTGTAAAAAACCGGACTGTCAGTAAAATGATCTCAAGACATGTTTTTATTTGTGACAATTTCAGTGAAGGTGACGCAATTTTAATGATTTATTGAATGTTGACACCGCCTTCGCAAGTTATTTACTGACGATTCCTCGCTTTGATTATATTTAACTAATGATACCTACTCTGAATCATCAAATCAGTTGTTATGATCTGCGCGTCCACAAGTACTGAACAACCAACGCAAGTATTTTTCTAGCGTATTATAGTAGAGCAACATTTTGTGAAATTACACTTTTGCAGCATGGAAAATTCAACTAACCTCATACGATTAACAGCAAGTCAAATGCGGGAACTGAAACAGGTAATCCACACGTTTGGAATGGATAGGTACTCATTGGATCTGTCTTTGGGGGCAGAAGAAAATTTTGGAGGTATTATAATTAAGGCTGATGTAAAATACAAGAGGATCGGTGATTGTGAACTTAACTTTATCCTTAAATGCGCATCCCCTAGTGAAACTTTGCGTAAATTGATGTACGTGCACACCCCTTATATAAGAGAGATTTATTTGTACTCAAAGGTTCTACCGGAATTTGTTTCTATACAAAAGGAGTTTCAAATCAAGAAACCTTTCGAATCATACGCAACCTACTACTCATCATTAAAAATTGATCGAGAAGAAATGATAATACTACAAAACATGAAGACCTTAGGATTAAAGCAGCGGGAACGCCACCTCCCTCTAGATTATAATCACGTACTATTAACAGTTAAGGAATACGCACGCTTACACGCATTATCTTATGCATTACACTACCACAGGCCTGAGCTATTTGAAGAACTTGAACAAAACATGGCTGATCCCATGTACTTCGACTTTAAGCTTGAAGGAGTCAGACAAGTTCTACAGCATCGCTGTTCCGAAGCGTTAAAGGCGCTAAGTCCTACTGAAGATCAGTCTGCGTATCAGAAATTGCTGTATTTTTCCGATAACGCCGTTTCGATAGTAATTAAACTGCTCAACTCAGCAAATCCGCATCGTGTCGTTAGCCACATTGACTGTGGAATTCCAAACCTTTTGTTTGAATACGAGGTAGGCTGGTGACATTTTGGAAACTAATAAGATTACGTTTTTGATTTTAGAATGCTTCAAACGCCCCTATCCGCGTTATCATGCTTGACTGGCAAGCATCCCGTATGGAATCTCCTGCCGTGGACTTAGTGACATTTCTATTTTCTGCAACGGACAAAGCTACCAGATATCGTTATAATGAGCTAATATCGGAGTACTATGGATGTTTATGTTCATTTCTGGCCGAGTTCGGTTGTGATGGCAAAAAGTTGTTGCCGTTCGAAGTTCTCCAGCAGCAGTTAAAGGAGTATGGGATAATGGGTTTGTTTATGGTTATTGGATTGATTTACGTTTATTCAACCGTGAACCAGAGGGTGCCAGATATCTATAAGGAAGAATCACATGCTGAGGGTTTATCATTCCTGTATGACCTGGACGACAGCTCATGTTTCAGTAAACGAGTCCGGGAGGCTATTCTGGATTTTCATAACTTAGGTTACAATTTCAGTTAGCGTATTATCATGCCGTGTTCATTTATTAGTATTGTAATAATAATTATACATAAATCTTTTTACTGGTAGCAGACCTATATTTTACAATAAGTACTGCATGTATCAAATTACGAGATTTTTCACCAGTTTCGAATCTCGGTAGCAATCGGCTAGGACTGGGTGATACGAATAGAACTCCTACGTTGTGTTATACTATGGCGGTTCTTTTTATGTGTTGGGACGTGAGGCACAATCGAGAAGGAAATTGCATGCGAACGAAGAGTTTTGTGCGTAAGAAAAGACAAGAAAAATGAAATATATACGCACACAAAAAGCTTAGGAAAAAGCTTCATTGGAAAAAACCCGGCATAACACACACAAATACAATAAAAGATAAAATGAACTACGATAACAAAAGTTACTAACAGGACTGTATGTGGTACTGACCACAGGGAATAATCGGTTAGTCAAACATACAGGGCAACACCACACTGATACATATAAAGTAAAGAAACATGATTCAATAACGGCACAAAGAAAAAGATTGGGGCAGGTCGTGCTGCAATAAACAAATATGGAAATGTAAAATGTAAGTAATAACAAATTGTGACACGTAATATCACCACCGAGTGGTGGTCCCTATCCGTACTAATGTTGGGAATTGTATGGACGATAATCTAACAAACCTTTTCTGGGCTCAAAATGGCGAAAGAGGGGGCGGCTCCAACGCAGAGCCTTGTTCAAGGTGGTGAGCCAGCTCCTATTGGTAAGAAGAATAGGCGCACATAAGGCGATGCGCAACAAGCGCCGGATCAAGGGGGCAACCCGACGTTGGGAACCAAGCGTGGGGGGTGCAATACGAATATATGGGCAAGTTGCTGCGGAGGGGTTCAGGCTGTCTATTGTTCCGTTGTCGCACTTGAAGGTGCCTCGGTTGAAGTGCATTATGGCTGCATTGAATGCAGTCATGACGAGATGGAACGCCCTTCCATCGTGTGGCAGGGTTCTGATTGAATCCGTAGGGTGCCGGCATTATAGCCAAAACATAGGAACTTAGACTGGATGGAGAGGACCATCCCTCTTATTAGGCCCTGGAATTGCGGGCCGTTGAAAGTGCAGAAGCTAAGGTAACCAAGGTGATGGCTGTGTCGTTCGGGATCTCGGATGGCAGAGAGCCCATCTTGAAGCGCCTCTAGAGGAAAAATCCTGGACGAGCCTATGAAGGACGTTCTTCCATTGGGAGGAGCCTGGTAGAGCCCTTCTAGCATTTGGTGTCAATAAGGCATCCTATTGGGCACTCCAGTGGTAGATCTTTTAAGCGGACGCGGGGGTCTCGCACGTCACATTAGTGACAAAAGTCAGGTAAGGGAGACGGGCTCCACCGGAGCAGTAGGACCCTGCCCCGGCGGAGGGGGCTCAATCTCTTCCTATCGACCTCCAAGGAGCGTCGGGGTTATTGCAGGAGACGCGTAAGAGGTCTAGACGAGGTGGAGGAATTATAAGTCTATAGATGAATTGAGTCTTGAGATTCATGTTTCAGGGATCTCGTAGCATTAAGACTTCATCTGAAAGATGGCAGAAGACGGAGCAGGCACTTGGCGGTTAGCTCAACTATCTCCCGTACGACCCAGAAGAGGCTCCTTTTACCAGGGAGCGCGCTGAGTTGTAAGAGTAGCGTCGAAATGGTCGGCTCCTTCTTGGGTTGGCTGTGATGCAAACGCCCACCATGTTGTGTGAAGCAACACGGACCCGAGCTCGAAGAACTACCTTCTGGAGTACTTGCAAACAACGGATTTTATTGTTTTAAAGCAGTCCCCACCTTCGTTACAGCGCGGAGTTAGAAGGTTATAGATCTGACGTTGCACTCCTTTCAATAGCCCACATGATCACGAGTTGCAAGATGTCTGATGGGCTGCCTCTTTCAGAACACAGACATATTCTTTTCCAACTCAACATGGCATCCCACTGCGGGCCCTGTAGGTTTCGGAATCCCCGATCCACTGACTGGGATTGCTATGTGGCGAAACTGTCAGAGATTGGCCACATTTGCTCTATCGGAAAGCAGAAGGCAGTTGAAAAGTGCGGTTGTATGAGTAAGAGACGCCATACTAGCGTCATATGAGGACAGCTGTAAACTGCGGACCTTTAGAAGAACAAAGAAACCTCCTTGGTTGGAACTCAGACCTTGAAGAGGATCGTAAGGGGGTTCGCAGTCACTTTAATATCATGCGACTACAGACTAGGAAGATCTCAAAATCGCTCAGTGCGGGTATAAGGACCATATTAGAGAATGTAAACGAGGATCACGGAGGACCTTCTGTGGTAACGCAGAGGGTCTTCCTGAAGTACAAAAGCTTCGTAAGATTCGGGGCAAAAAGTGGAGACACTGAGGGTTCAATGTGGCATCCTATTGGGCACTCCAGCGGTAGATATGTGGCTTTAGACCCCATACGGAGCTACCCAGGTCGGTGCAAAGCTGAGTGACTGAAAAGGAGCTGCCCGGGTGGTTACCGAGGGATCTCTGAGCACGGTCAATACGCTCAGCCCATTTAAAAGCGCAGGATCGGACAGGTTTCATAACATAATTGGAAATTGTTACGACACTCGTTACCATGGATATTAAGCTATGAGGCCCTGAATTGTCAACAACAGCAGATCGCTGCCTACAAAATTGCAAATAAAATGGTTTTTTTCAAAATCACGACTTAATCAAACCTTTCTTTAAAAGAGGTGGGTAGGTACGGGGGCATAAGTTTAAAAATAATGGTTGTAGACTTATTAATTTTAACGAATACATTTCGAATTCAATTGTTTACACATTTCAAATTAAAAAAATTAGTTTACACTTGCGCACAAGTTTCCTACCTTACCCGAAGCAGCAAAATTCTGACGTGCATAGCGTACTTACGTTTTAAAGATCACATTAAAAAACCTGTTCATTTTTTTTGTTTTGTTCTTAGATACCTAAACAACATACAAAATTTCGTAAAAGTCTGATCATTTTATTGTCCAATCGAGAATGACAGTCGAAATTTTTAGAATTTTAAAAACTAATCGCAGATTTCTCATTTTCATGTTAATGGACCACCAAATCCGAAATTTCGTCGAAAACAAAGTTTTTCTCACCCAAAATTAATTTTTTATTCCATGTCCTTGCCTAGGAGTACGCCATATTGGGGCTGGAATTTTGAAACAAGATTGGAATGGGAATATCCAATATCCTATCCCATGTGCCTGAATTGATGCTGTATTGCGCAGATGATGAAATGAAATTATTTAATAGTATATTGCATAATAAGTGTGCTAAGAAGCCTATTTCGCACGAGTATTTTGCGACACGAGCGAGCGCAGCGAGCGAGTCTTGTAATAAAATCGAGTGCGTAATAGGCATTAGCACACGAATTATGTACTATACTTTTTCTACGACTTCAATATAATTGATAGATTACGATTGATTTGGTTCTAAATATTCGAACTAAAAATTAGAACTGTCAAGTGTCAAATGTCATGGTCTATTTAAAAGGAATACAAAATACAACGTAACCTCACTTATATTCCATGAATGCACGCCAGTGAGCAAGAATTTTATAAATACTTTTTACTTAGATTGGAAGTGTATCCAGGGTTTTGACATCCCTATTCCTTACTGCAATGTGAGTTTCATTTTAGCACCATAGATGCAATAGCCAATAGGATACAAGATACAAGTGTTGAAGTTGAAGATTACTACCTAACTAGCTCAGGTGGTGTTTGTGCTCTTTTTCATTACAGTTTTGAACGATTTCAATTGTTGCAGTTGCCAATGTATTAGGTACCTAACTATCGATAATACTAAGGCCTTCAAAACGCTGCGTCTTTTAACGAATTTTCCCGGGAAGAAAGCATCGGGCTACCCAGTATTCTAAAGTGCATTATTCCGTGTTCCATGCAAGTCGTAATTGGCACCATCCATTAATTCTTCGAGTATTTATTGTAGTTTTCTAAAATACAAAATAGTAGCAACAGAGTTTGCTTAATTAACTGAACGCAGCTTCAAACCATTCTTGAGTAGCCCATTACGATTATGAAAAATAATTGGGCACGGCTAATAAATTACGTACAGGCTCCATTCTCATACAAATGGCAATGTTTAAACAAATTATGAGTAATTCTGTTCAAAGAAGTTTAAAAACGTGAAACATAACCTACAACAACAATATCTGACGTTACTTCATTCATTAGTGTTATATTTGTTGGGTCGTTGGAAATAAACGGATGATGTCGGATTGTTATTTATTAATTGCACAAACATATATCACCGACATTATTCTACCTCCATTTTTACAAGGCCATAATCATCGGCTGTGTCTCTACTCCCCTATACTAATACCCTGTATAACACCTCCTCTCCTTAAAAGAAATAAATTTACAATATGTATAAGCATAAAATTTACAAATTCAAACGGATAGGAGGTCGAGAAACCCTATTTGATCTTCGTAAAGGTGGTTCCGAATCTATTATAATTTTACTTGTTTCGGGCACTGATACAACTGGAGCATCTGAAAGATTTTCATTTACTGGTGGCGTACTTGCCTCCGTTTCAGAAATGATTGAACTGGCACTACCCTGAAATTGATTGTCAGCTGGGTGTGTATCCTTTTCTTTTGCAATCTGCAATTCGTCATTATTATGAAAAGTACGAGAAGTGGACATCGTCTGACCTGCAATCGGATCGTTAACATAATCTCTCACTGCATTTGTGATAGGCATATTTTCGCCAATTGTCCTAATTTGATTTATGTGTCGTTTGTAAAATTTACCATTATCTAACTGAATTAAATAATGTAATTTACCTAACCTTTTTTGTATTCTGCCAAATTCCCATTTATTGCTATGATTGTAGTCACGCACTGCCACTCTTTTCCCTACCGAAATTTCTCTAACTCTAATATTGTAACTAGGTTTTGTATTAACTTCTAAATCTGGTTTAAGAAAATCTAAACGTGAGCGAATTTCTCTTCCGAACATTAAATAGGAAGGACTGACTTTCGTTACTGAATGTTCAGTCTTTCTATAATGTAACAAAAATTTTAGTAATTCTCTTTCACAATCATTTGCATGTCCCTTCATTGCTCTTAGAGCCTGTTTAAATGATTGTACATATCTTTCCGCTAATCCATTTGTGCTTGGATGATACGGAGCACTTAACTTATGAATAATACCGTTTTCTTGTAAAAACCGTTTAAATTCGTATGAAGTGAATGTACTCCCGTTATCTGACACTAAAGTTCTCGGAATTCCAAATGTAGTAAAAATTTTTCTACACAGAGCAATTGTATTTGTTGTCGTCATATCTTTAACTACATGAATTTCTGGCCAGCGTGTGTATGCGTCGACTAAAATAAAGTAATATCGATTATAAAAAGGCCCTGCAAAGTCCACATGTACTCTGTCAAAGGGAGCACTAGCTGGTTCCCAAGGGTGAACTTGCACTTTTACTGGGTCATTTTTGTGTTTTTGGCAATTTACACAATTCTTAACAATCGCCTCAATGTCATCCGATATTCCGGCCCACCACACATAACTTCGTGCTAAGGCTTTCATCTTTGCCACCCCAAAATGCGTTGCATGTAATTCTTGTAGGATTTTGTACTGTAATGTTTTTGGAACAACAACGCGGTGTTGTCTAAATATACTCCCACTTTGTAATGTAAATTCTGACTGATCTACATTAAAACGGAATTTTTTGTCAACTTCTGTCCCTGATTGCAACCCCTTTAATAGTGGTATTAATGCATTATCTCTCTCAGTTGCCTTGGCTAGTTCCTGTAATTTAATGGGTAATGTTTCTATTTGATTAATTTCGAATGCATCTGGTTCATCATAAAGGTAATTATCAGTACTTTTTGTAGGTAACCGCGACATAGCATCCGCATTTGCGTGCTTTGTTGTATTTTTATATTTAATATTGTATTTAAATCCCTGTAAAAAGAGTGCATAATGCTGCATTCTTGTGGCAGTCAAAGATGGTAAACTTGCTACTGGTGAAAAAATATGTACTAGAGGTTTATGGTCTGTATATAGTGTAAAGTTTCTTCCAAACAAGTAATAAAAGAATTTTTTTACTCCATATACGATACTGTATGCCTCCTTGTCAATTTGGGCGTATTTTTGCTGTACTGTTGTTAAAGTTTGTGATGCAAAACAAATTGGTCGTTCAGATCCGTCTGGAAATGTATGTGATAGTACAGCCCCTACTGCGTACGGGCTGGCATCTGTAGCTAACACCAATGGTAGTTTTGGGTCAAAATGAACTAAAACTTTAGGTGATTGTATTTGTGATTTCACAATTTCAAAAGCTTTTTGACACTCCTTATTCCATTTAAAAGGTATATCTTTTTTTAACAATTTATATAATGGATGCAATGTAGAACTTAAGTTCTGCATGAATCGACCGTAATAATTTACTAACCCTGCAAATGCACGTAATTCGGTTTTATTGGTAGGAATCTTTACTTTCTGTATTGCTTCAATTTTTGCCTTAGATTTATGTATACCCACTTTATCAATTACATAACCGCAATACTCAATTTTATCTTTAAGAAATTCACATTTTGAAAGGTTTACCCGTATATTATACTTTGCTAATCTACCTAGTACTAACTCTAATCGCTGAAAATGTATAGTATTATTAGGTGCTGTAATTTTAATATCGTCTAAAAAGACTGTAACCCCGTCAATATCTTGTAGTATTGTTTCTATTGTGCGTTGCCATATGGCTGGTGCACTAGCTATACCAAACATTAGCCTAGTACTTTGGTAAAGCCCTTTTGGAGTACTTAGTGTTAGATATTTTCTATCTTCGGGACATACTTCTAACTGTAAGTACGCTTGTTGTAAATCAAGTTTTGTGAACTTATCTCCCCCAGCTAAACTCAAAAATAATTCTTCTACTGTTGGTAAGGGATGCTCGTCTACAATTAAATTTTTATTAAGTGTAATTTTGAAATCTCCACAAATCCTAATTCTACCATTAGATTTTACAACTGGGACAATAGGTGTTGCCCATTCTGACGTATTTACTTTAATTAACACTCCCTCTTTCTCCAATATTTGTAATTCTTCTTCTACTTTGGGTAGAAGTGCATAAGGAACTTTACGAGCTTTAACAAAAATCGGTGTTGCACCTTCTTTCACTTGTAACTTTGCCTGCAAATGTTTAATTTTTCCCATATTTTGCTCAAAAACTGACTGATATTTTTGTATCACTTTATCTAATGTATTGGGGCATGTTTCTAGAGATACATGAGAAATAGTTGCTAGATCTAATTGTAATTGTCTTATCCATTCCCTACCAAGTAACGGTTTTCTATCAGACTTAACTATGTATAAATTCAAAATTTTCTGTACAGTGTTGTATGTAACAGTTACCGATACAAATCCTACAACGTCCAATTCTCTTTTACAGTAAGTGACTAATTGTAAGTTTGTATTTTCTACTTGAATATTGGGGAATAATTGTTTAAATTGAGTTACATTAATTATACTCACTGCAGCTCCACTATCAACTTCAAATTCAACTAGTGTACCATTTAATTTTAGCGTTAACAAGAATTTTTCTCTAAATGTAGTATGTTCAGTTTGTAATGTGAAAATTTCTTCTACCTGATTCGCCTGTTGTTTCTGTTGCCTTACTTTCATACATACTTTGCTTACGTGACCTTGCCCTTTACAAAGACTGCAATAGAGCTTCTTCTTTCTGCATTTAGATGCTACATGATTACTATCGCCACACCTGTAACAAAATATTTTGTTAGTATTAACATCTGAACTTGAAAATGGTTTTACAAAATTTCCACTTTTTGAAAACTTAGAGTTTTTATATGCTGGTGTAATGGATTGTACTGTCCCACGGTGAGCATTGTGTAGTTGAGCTGCGTCTCTTTGAGACACCTCCATACTCTTCGCAACTTCTACTGCCTTTTCTACGGTTAAATCCTTATGTTCCAATAAACGACTTTGTATTGCTTGGTTCCGCAGTCCAAAGACAAACTGATTACGTAGTGCCTTCTTAAGATATGTTCCGTAATTGCACTTGGTCGCTAACTTTTGCAAGGATGTTAAAAAATCTTGTGTACTTTCGCCTTCGTGCTGTCTTCTCTGTAGAAATCGAAATATCTCCGCTATCTCCAATGGTTCCGGATTATAATGAGTTTTCATATAATTCACCAACTCTTCGTAAGTTTTTTGTACTGGTACTTCTGGTGATAATTTGTCACACAAAACGTCATATGCGTCTGGACCCATGTAATGTAAAAGGTATGGTGCTTGCTTATTCCTTGGTACTCCGAACACACTAAATGCGCTCTCCAACCTCATTAACCATCTATCAAAGTTTTTAGTTGTATCGTACGTTTCAATGGAGAATACTGTATGTACGGCATGTGAAATCGGTTCTTGGATAGAAGATGTAAGTGTAGTCCCAGAACTTTCCGTAGTAGCCATTGGGCTTGTAGTTGTATTTGTCGTAGCCGTTGAACTTGTGGTCGTAGTCATGACTTATGTAAATTCTTTTTCAATGTGTATGCCCTTAACCTTACTTTTGGAACGCACCGAACGTGATCTTGTAAAATGTATATGTATTAACGTAGATTCGTATTTTTCGTCCTCGTCGCCACTGTTATATTTGTTGGGTCGTTGGAAATAAACGGATGATGTCGGATTGTTATTTATTAATTGCACAAACATATATCACCGACATTATTCTACATCAATTTTGTACAAGGCCCTAATCATCGGCTGTGTCTCTACTCCCCTATACTAATACCCTGTATAACAATTAGGCAGGGCTGACAACCTACTAAATTAACATTTCGCGTTTGACCTTTAACCTGTTACGTAATATACAGGGTGACAATTTGAAAACTTACCACCCCCCATATCTTAGTAAATAAACGAGATATTTAAAAAAATCAAAATCCGTTTCGGTAATTCGGAGGGGAATCACAATGACATAGTTGGCGACGCACCCCCTCCAACCCCCTGCGCCCCAGCCACCCCAACTTTTAAATCTTAAATAGTGACCCCCCATGTGTGATACGTCGTTGGAAAGCTCTGAAAAGATGCTTTCCAACCATACCAAATAGCATTACATTTAGGTTAGTAATTATCGTGCAAATCAAAAAATAAACATGGAAAATCGTATTTAACTTGAACTTCCAAAGCCGACTCGACAGCAACTCATTTTTGATCGCCAGTTATAATCTATTCTCAAACTCTTGTCGAACCTTTTCAAATGTTGGTTTTGCAATATTTCGACATTCTTGAATTATTCTCTGTCTTAGTTCGTCTATGTTCGCCGGTTGCGTTTTAAATACGACAGATTTCAAATGTATCATATTAGTTTATTTTTTGATTTGCACGATAATTACTAACCTAAATGTAATGCTATTTGGTATGGTTGGAAAGCATTTTTTCAGACCTTTCCAACGACGTATCACACATGGGGGGTCACTATTTAAGATTTAAAAGTTGGGGTGGCTGGGGCGCAGGGGGTTGGAGGGGGTGCGTCGCCAACTATGTCATTGTGATTCCCCCTCCGAATTACCGAAACGGATTTTGATTTTTTTAAATATCTCGTTTATTTAATAAGATATGGGGGGTGGTAAGTTTTCAAATTGTCACCCTGTATATATATATATATTAAGTAACAGTTCTAATTTTCATTATGCAACCGTATGATATAATGAACGATTTAGACGTGCAGTACAGGGTGACATTTTGGGTATGTTTACGACATAGGAGTAGAAAAAACCTATTATCACAGATATACCTACACTGCATACCTGTTCTGATACATTCACCCGTTGATGCCTTTGCTGCCCTCTACATTGCTTTTTACTAACACTCTTACGGTTCCTAATTGAAGTTTTACATTTGACTTGTAGATGTACTTCGTGTATACTAGTTGCTCATATGGTTCGTGCATTATATTCGCGGCTTGTATGTATAATCTGTGGTATACGGAAAGCTTTCCCTCTCTTAAATTCCGTATGCCATTCTGAGACCGCCAAATTAGTTTAAAGTTACTTTACTAATGTTTTCAATTACTACTACTCTACCTCTATCCCTTTTTTGGGCCTCTACTATCAATTCAGTCTAATTTTTAATTCCAAACAGATATCTGGTATGATAGGAAATTTTGTTTTGTCAAAACTGTAGATACAATTATTTAACTTTGATATTCGTATTTATTTTAAGCAATCTTCTACAATTAGTTTGCGAAATGTAAATATATTGACTCAGTTTTTTTCATCAAGTAGCTTATCGGTTATCTAGAAAATATAATAGTACCTACTAATTGTAGTACCCTTTGAATATGGTATCTATAATCAAAAAGTAGTGCAACTCATTTTTCTTATAGCATTTTGTTTAGGACTTTTACGTCTGATTTTTATTATTTTATTTGTATTTTTACGCAGAAAATTGGTCCCAAAAATTTCTCCTTGAAAATCTGCGCCAGGTAACTGGTCTTCCAAAATTCTCCACCGTGATATTCACTCCCAAGAAGACTCGTCCTCAATAAATATGCCCTGGAAGATTTTCCGTGGAATATTGCCCAAAAAAGATTTTAGCTCACAGAACACTGGGCTTCAAAGGAAAATGTAAGGTCAGTAAAGTTCGGCCACAAAATGTCGAGATTAAGGTAAACTTGCCATGGAAATAAATTATATTAATACCAATTCTAAAGTTCTCCCTTTCTCCCCTCTCTCCCTATATCCCTCCTCTCCCTCTCCCCCTCCTCTCTCTGGTTTTTCCTCTCTCCCACTCTCTTTCTTTCCCTCTCCCTCTATCTGAGGGATTAACTATTGGAATTCTCACACTGATACGTAGTCTAAGGGCGCCTGCGCACTAGCGGCCAAGTCGCGCGATCCTGTTGCGCATGCCAAGTCGCGTCACTGAAAGTTCAAGGCGACCAAAACCTAGTCAGTCAGTGCAGTTGTGAAATGAATGCCTAGCAATCCTTTGCTATATGGTACCTCACTGGAAAAAAAAGAAAAACAAAAAGAAGGTGTCCTGGGTGTCGGTAGAGGGTACTTTGTTCTATGCTCCATGCGCACGTGTTTTCCCGAAAAGCTATTGACTATGTACTATGTAACTACACTGACTGTATAAAGACAGTGTGGCCATAATGCTCCATGTCGGCCATGTTATTTCCAATTTGTCAGTGAGCTGATTGGTTTAACCGAATTTGTAGGTGTTGCTTCTGCTATGTTACAATTATTCTGTCACAATTGTGTCTAACAAAAAAAATTCATCACCTTGCTTTCCAGGTTAATTCCTACCAATTCGGTGTATTCGGCCAAAACATGGCGGATCTCTCAACTACCAATATACTACCAAAATAACACCACCGTATGCCCACACTGTCTCTGTAAAGTCACTGTACTACCTACAGTCTACAAACCAGGTGAAAATGGAAGGTCTGCATGAGATTTATCTGTCGTGGGGTAATAATTTTGCACATATGGTTGAAACAGAGGTGAAAGGACTTAGTCATTGCACTAATGTTGCACGCTACTACACACTAAGCATAAACTCCTAATATTTTACAAGGAGATGAAACTAGATACTCTCATAGTGTAAGCTTCGGAAAATTTCACACAGGACCTGGCGCCGCATAATTATTTTTTATGCCGCAACATTGGTTGTGCCCATAAAGATACAAGATGAAACTTAATTAGTATCGACTTTTGACATACAGTGAGTTTTTTTTTAATGCGAACATACGCTTTTGTATGCAATGTAATTTCCCTATGTTCGATTAAAAAAAAAACATATCAATCTATGTAGTGTGCGCGGTTCACATTCCCACCATCAAAACGCGCAACTTGCGTGACTATGAACAGCAACGGTTTCTATAGTCTTCATGATGAAGAGCACTCGATAAGATTTTTTTTAAAGAAGCCATGTGAGGTCATAGTAACTTTAGGATAAATTTTTCTTAAACTTACGATAGCTTGACCTCACAGGGTACTCGCTGTCACCACAATTCATTGTGAACCAACCTTCAATTATTTGTAGGTCATGTGCGCCTGGTATTCTACTAATTTGATCTATTCAATACATAAATGAAGAAAATAAGAACATAAATAACGAAAACAACTACAATAAATGTTCAAAGTGTCCTCCTTGACATTCTAAGCAATCACCTAATCGATTTCGAAATTAAATTGGACAGCGATATTTTTAAAAATATGACAGCTGTCAATTGTATCTACTACTCATTTGAACTACTCAATAGATTGATCTGTTTTTTTAAAAATCGAACATAGGGAAATTACATTGCATGCAAACTCCTATGTTCGCATTTAAAAAATATTCACTGTATGTCTGCTATGCCATGTTCGATATAGGTAAATACAAATCATGACCAAAATAAAGAAGAGTGACAACACATTCTAATCTTAGTGTAGGTACAATTCTATATTAATGCTTCAATGCCTTTTCAGATGACTTCATCTTATGTAAAATTTCCAAATGATTTGAAGCGCTGGTGTGAAATCCAACACTTCGATTCCATGAGAAAGGGGCAACAAAATCCAATATTTATGCATAAAATCAACTTATACGCTTGGAATATCAAGCACTTGAAGGGCTTCAACGCCTATGACATGGATCACAGCTGTGATTAGATAATTACCATTACAATTTTTTTTATCTTTCTGGTACATTGTTCAGTTTCAAACTATATTACGATGTACTAATTCAACAATTACTTAATTAATTATTCATATCTGTTACATGTTTAATTTAATGTTAAGTTTCCGAAAATAAAGTTGATAATAATTGTTTAACCATTTTCTACTCTTATTACGAATACATTAATTAACATTACATATGAAACTGCTTAGCAATGTATTGCATCTTCAGATATGGTTTTCACAAACACTTACACCTATTTCTTATTGAATGGTACATATACCTCAACGAGTTTATCATTACTGATATCTATGTATTTATTGAGAAATAGAGATACCAATGTCTACCTATATCGTACCCTACATAGACAAAAACCATAGTGTATATCAAAATTATATGTTTATATGATGCCAACACACTTTTGACTCTTATCTACAAGGCCCAAAGGTATCTTCGAAGGTAAGTTTTTACCACATTTGCTTTAGTACCGTGATCTTTTATGCCATATAGACGTTTATTTTATGTAATTCTGTAAAATATTAATTATTCCTTGCAGTAGTCACCATAGTTGCAGTTATATTCTTCTTTAAAATTGACTATACAATAAACGTTAGCGCAAGTAGTGTATCAAAGTTATTATTGTAGTTTTACAGCATGACAACCAACGAAATAACATTAACAGAAAACCAAATCCAAATACTAAAAGAAGTAATCAGTAAGCTTGGGATTGATAACTATTCAATAAAGCTATCTTTGGGAGCGGAAGGAAATTTTGGAGGTATTATAATTAAAATCGACGTAACATGTAAGGGAGTAGGCGCTGTTCGTGAAATTAACTTAATGATTTAAGAGCGCATCACCTGGTAAGGTTTTGCGTGGATGGGATATGTGCACACACCTTTCCTAAGAGAAATTTATTTGTATTCAAAGGTTCTTCCTGAATTTCCTGCTTTACAAAAGGAATATCAAATCGAGAAACCTTTCGAGTCATACCCGACTTACTACTCCTCCCTAAAATTCGACCGAGAAGCGATGTTGGTATTGCAAAACCTGAAAACCTTAGGCCTGAAGGAGCGGGAACGCCACCTACCGCTGGACTATAATCACGTCCTCTTAACAGTTAAGCAATACGCACGGTTACACGCGTTATCTTATGCATTACTTCACCACAAGCCTGATCTGTATGAAGAGCTTGAACAAAACATGTCCCATCCTATTTATTTTGATTTTAAGCTAATTGGAATGCGTAAAATGGTACATCATCGCATGTGCGCCACCTTAAAGGCACTAAGTCCCACTGAAGATCAAGTTGTGTACAACAAACTGCGGTTTTTTTTTAGAAAATGCCGTTCCGGTACTAAATGAACTAATCAACTCCATAAAACCGTACCGTGTCGTTAGTCACATTGATTTACGTTTATTCAATTACTGTCAATCAAAAGCTGCCAGAGTTGTTTAAGGACGAATCACACGCTGAAGGGTTTGCGTTCTTATACCTAGAGGACAGTTCTCAGTTCAATAAACGGGTCAGGGACGCCGATTTTGACAATTTAGGTTACCGATTT